ACTTGCCTAAGGTAAGATGATCTTTCGGGGTTCCTGATTCATTTTGAAAGAGTCTGCGAGACATTCTGCAGGACACAACAGATAGTGACTGAACTGACTTTGAATTTTCCTGCTTTATGGAAATGTCTGCTGGATACCATGGGCCTGAAGGCTGAAGATGGATGCCCCAACGGTACAAAAGAACTTTGGGTGACTGTCCAGGCAGCGAGATGTCTTTGTCATTTCTAGAGTTTGAAGTTTCTTAGTTCTTGTTTACTTAGGTAATATATCTTTCTGGAGTCTTTGATGGAGTTAAGAATAGTTAGTTATAGTTGTAGTTTTCCTTAGTTATGATAAAGATTATTGTAACTTTTACTTGATAACTGTTTTGTTATATGAAATTTTGCTATGTTAAAGCCTTTTTTTTGTTTAAACCGAAAAAGGGGAAATGATGGAGGAAGGTCATTGGCTAATAAAGGAACTGCCCTGGCCCATTTTATTGGTTAGAGGATAGGTGGGAGGAGTAAACAGAACAAAATGCTGGGAGGAAGAGGAAGTGAGGTCAGAGACTCCACAGCTCTCTCGGGAGCAGACGCCTCAGAGAGAGACACCATGCCCCGCTCCCGGGATGAAGCTCCGACCCAGGATGGACTAGGCTGGAATCTCCCCGGTAAGTGCACCTTGGGGTGCTACATACAGATGATTAGAGGTGGGCTAAATTAATATGTGAGAATTAGCCTAGAAGAGAATGGGCCAGGCAGTGTTTGGAGGAATACAGTGTCCGTGTAATTATTTCGGGGCATAAGCTAGCCGGGCAGGCGGCCGGGGTGTTGGGGACGCATCCCCGCCGCCGCCCTTATTACTACAAGCAAAGGCTATCATTGGTGTTTTTGATTTTAGCCATTCTGACAGGTGTAAGTCGGAATCTCAAAGTTGTCTTGATTTGCATTTCCCTGATCGCTAAGGAGGTTGAGTTTAAGTGTCTTTTGGCCATTTGAACTTCTTCTGTTGAGAATTCTCTGTTCAGTTCAGTGCCCCATTTTATAATTGGGTTGATTAGCCTTTTACGGTCTAATTTCTTGAGTTCTTTATATATTTTGGAGATCAGACCTTTGTCAGTTGCGGGGTTGGTGAAGATCTTCTCCCAGTCAGTGTGTTGCCTTTTTGTCTTCGTGACAGTGTCCTTTGCTTTACAGAAGCTTCTCAGTTTCAGGAGGTCCCATTTATTCAATGATGCCCTTAGTGTCTGTGCTGCTGGGGTTATACGTAGGAAGTGATCTCCTGTGCCCATGTGTTGTAGAGTACTTCCCACTTTCTCTTCTATCAGGTTCAGTGTGTTCAGACTGATATTGAGGTCTTTGATCATTTGGACTTGAGTTTTGTGCATGGTGATAGATATGGATCTATTTTCATTCTTCTATAGATTGACATCAAGTTTTACCAGCACAATTTGTTGAAGATGCTCTCTTTTTTCCTTTGTATACTTTTAGCTCCTTTATCGAAAATCAGGTGTTCATAGGTTTGTGGGTTAAAGTCAGGGTCTTCTATTCGATTCCATTGGTCGACTTCTCTGTTTTTATGCCAATACCAAGCTGTTTTCAATACTGTAGCTCTGTAATAGAGTTTGAAGTCAGGGATGGTAATGCCTCCAGACGATCCTTTATTGTTTAAGATTGTTTTGGCTATCCTGTGTTTTTTGTTTTTCCATATAAAGTTAATTATTGTCCTCTCAAGATCTGTGAAGAATTTTGATGGGATTTTGATGGGGATAGCATTGAATCTATAGATTGCTTTTGGTAGAATTGCCATTTTTACTATGTTGATCCTCCCAATCCAAGAGCAAGGGATATCCTTCCATTTTCTGGTGTCCTCTTCAATTTCTTTCTTCAAAGACTTAAAGTTCTTGTCAAATAGATCTTTCACTTCCTTGGTCAGAGTTACCCCAAGATATTTTATGCTATTTGTGGCTATCGTGAAAGGTGATGCTTCTCTGATTTCCCTCTCTGCTTCCTTATCCTTAGTGTATAGGAAGGCCACTGATTTTTTTGGAGTTGATCTTGTATCCTGCCACATTACTAAAGGTGTTTATCAGCTGTAGGAGTTCTTTGGTAGAGTTTTTGGGGTCGCTTATGTAGACTATCTTATCATCTGCAAATAACGAAAGTTTAACTTCTTCCTTTCCAATACGAATCCCCTTGATCCCCTTATGTTGTCTTATTGCTATTGCTAGAACTTCAAGCACTATATTGAAGAGGTATGGAGAGAGTGGATCTTGCCAGCTTTTCTAACTTTCTACCTTTTGCCTCTGGGCTTTTACCTTTCTCTTACTTTTGTAAACCGTACTTTCACTCCTACTCCATGGCTGGCTGGGTGGCTGACCCCTAGAGTCCTCTTTTCCTTCTTCTCTCGGTTTTTCATTCTCTTTGGTCTCGGTTCTCCTATTTATACTCTCTGCTTGCCAGTCCTGCCTATCCTTGCTCCTGCCTCACTATTGGCAGTTCATCTCTTTATTAGACCTTCAGGCATTTTAGACAAGCACAGTAACACAGCTTCACAGTTAAAGAAATGCAGCATAAACAAAAATCACATACCTGAAAATAATATTCCCCAACAAGCATCCAACTCTAGTCCTCGTGCATACTCAGTAAGCACTCTTTTTAATTTTTTGTTTGTTTGTTTTTTTTGAGACAGGGTTTCTCTGTGGTTTTGGAGCCTGTCCTGGAACTAGCTCTTGTAGACCAGGCTGGTCTCGAACTCACAGAGATCCGCCTGCCTCTGCCTCCCGAGTGCTGGGATTAAAGGCATGCGCCACCACCGCCCGGCTCTTTTTAATTTTTTTTTAAAAAAGAAAACCAACTATGTTTTTTTCATTTTACATACTAATCCCAGTTCCCACTGCCTCTCCTCCTCCCATTCCCTCAACCTTTCCCACCACCACCCCCCTACCACTCCTCCAAGAGGGTAAGGCACACTGCTTTGAGGAAGGTCCAAGGCTCTCTGTACTATAACTAGCCTGAGCAAGGTATCATCCAAAGAGAATGGGTTCCCAAAAAGACAGTACAAGCAGTAGGGATATATCCTGGTGCCACTATCAGTGACCCTACAGTCTGCCCCAGCCATTCAACTGTCAACCACATCCAGAGGGACTAGTTTGGTCCTATACTGGTTCCTTCCCTGTCAGGTTGGAGTTGGTGAGCTCCCTTTAGCTCAGATAAATTGTTTCAGTGAGTGTCCCCATTATTGTCTTGACCTCTTTGCTCATATTCCGCAAGCACTCTTAACTGGTGTCAATTAACTTTCAGAGCACAGAATCTTTGCAAATCTTGTCAGAATATAACCTTTAAAATTACAGTGTTGTCATGCATAGATTAATGCTGGTTTTGACACAGGTCCTTGTTAGATAACCCAAAATTTGACCTCAAACTTGAAATCATCCTACCAAAGGCTTCCTAGCACTAGGACTGTAAAAATACACCAGTATACCTGGCTATGTGTATGGCAAGAAAACTAACATTTGGAAAGAATGTGAAAAAATAATTAAAAAAAAAACTATTAGCAACGAGCAATTGATCTTCTTTCCTCAATCATCCCAGCAATGCTGGGGGTGAGCATTAATCCCTCGGTATTATACAGAAATCACAGCCTCTGCACACTTGAGTCGCATACTCAGCCTAATGTGTGAGCTTCTTTTCTACTGAAGCCTGCTTGCACTTGCTTCAGGCTGCTGCCCCACCATAGCTCTTTTTCAATTGTGAACCAAAACAAATCCTTCCTAAGTTGCTTTGGCCAGGCATTTTGTCAAAATTTTGAGAAAAGCAGGGAAGGAGGCATGACGGCCAGGAAAACTATAGCAACATCATTCCAGGCAATGAATAGCTATAAAAGGCAATATATAGATCTCTGCTAAAGCCTTCAGCATCACCTTTAATCTAACCTCATCTATCAACGTTACCTTCAATCCCAGTGGTAAAGTTTTGAAGATTAAATATACATGGGGTGGGGGGGAGGTTCTCTTGCCGAGTTCCACGTGGGAAGGTGAGCACCACTCAGACAGCACTGACGTCTCAATCTTTCTTACATAAGTTGGGAGAAGGATAAACCTCAAGTTTACATATCTGGCCAAGACTCTTGCAAGAAATAGCACAAGCTTCCAGAAAGAGGGGCATGAGACCTTCACAGCTGCACACACACCAGCTGCACCTGGTACACTTAAATAACAGTGGCCTTCAAACGGATACTGTGCTATCTATTGAATACTAGCCTACCAACTGCCATTAATATTTAAAAGTCCGTGCTGGGTAGATTTAAGAGCACACACCGCTCTTGCAGTGGAACCGTCTGGTTCCTAGCACTCACATCATGCAGTTCACAATCACCTATTAACTCCAGCTCCAGGGAAAGATGACATCTCTGGCCTATTGAGTACCTACAACTCATGAGCACAAAGCCACACACATATACATAACAAAAATTAAAACTAAACCATCTACAAAGTCAGTTAACATTCATATACCAATTCCCAGAACAATTTCAACCTCGAAGTGCTGCTCCCCAGCCCCCAAACAGGGCTGGAAATATAGCTTCACATTGCAAACTCTTACTTAGCAGCACCTCTCAACTTTTGACAGCCCTTTTTATAGGAAAAAGTGCTTTCTCCTGCTAGGCAGTAATACCAAGTCAATACCCAAGTTTGTGTTTACATCCTGTTTACTAGCCCAGATAACTTTTGTTTCAGAGGTAGACTTTATGTGGACATTCGTCATGGGTAGAACAGCCAGTCAGGATATCTGTCATCAAAAGACTGTCGCTGCACATTGTCAAGTGTTTCCGACAACTGCAAAGGCAGAGGCTTCACCTATGCATAGGAGTCCCTGAACAGTGAACACCTTGCTCCACTCTCAGCAGTGTTCTAGGCAGCCTACCCCCGAGTTACTTACCAGAAGTAGCTTTCCAAAAAACCTTCCACACACCACCTTCCAGGAAACACCCTCTGGCTGTACATAATATAACAAAACTAACCATGAAGGATAACGCTGTTTATTAAAAATATAATAGGAAGTCAGGGCATCGATGCAGTTTTACATACACATTTGTAGTCTGAAGTTCCATTATTCCAGCAGTTCATATAAATGTTTCAGATCAAAAGAGAAAGAAAACACTTTACAGAGATGAGCAGTTGCTTTTCAGTTTGGTTGTGAGTCTGTTTGTAGTAAAAATAAAACTCCCTCTTCCACTATTGAAGAATGTCTCCTTGATACTGAACAAGTCTGTAAGCATTAAGGAATTTCTTCTTGCCATTAGTTGTTCATGTTAACTTCTCGGCATATGCCAATTTTCCGACGTGGTTAAGTGCTATGAGTTGCCCACTATTACTGTTTGGGTAACTGGGACTTTCCAGTGACCTGTCACCAGGTTACTCCTTACTGTGGATACCAGCTACAGCAATGTCAATGCTGTATACCATTGACACCTGTATACCACCACTGTATACCATTGACACCTATATACCACCACTGTATACCATTGACACCTGTACACCACCACTTACTGTGGATACCAGCTACAGCAATGTCAATGCTGTATACCACTGACACCTATATACCACCACTTCTCAAAGAATCATACAGAGCACGACAGTTCAAGACAATATTCTCATTACAACAGGGAAAACAAAAATGGGTCAGAAAACCAAACCTTTAGAGATGACTGGAGCACAGCAAACCAAGGGCACATTTCCCTAGTGTGCAAAATTAAGGCCTCTGCTGAGAGTGCTTTAAAATGTAGTCTTCCTGACCCCAAATTAGCCACAGGTCCCAAGTACTGAACAGAGTAAATTGATGATAGAAAGCTTTTCAGTGACTTCCGGCTCTGAAATATTCCAGTCAGAACCATCATAAGCATTCAATTGATGCAAGATATCAACGAAGCCAAATCTGCCAGCACCACAGGTGTAAAATGCAAATACAGATTATTTTAATATGAAACATCACTGTTTTATACAGATGTCTACATTTTAACAGATCTTTAAAAAGTGAGGAACAAAATGCTATGTTCACACAAAAAACTTTGTGCTCAGTATGTAGAACACCAGAACTGGAGACAACAGGGCCCAGATCTTCTGGCCAACAGGGTGAAGCTGCAGAACCCAACTCCCTTCCCCTCTCCAGGTAACATTGCTCATTTAGAAGTCTCTGTAAGCAGAGAAGCTTCTGGCCTCATTTCCTCCTTACTGGGCGAACTGTCAAGAGATTTCTGTCAGCAGGGGATGTTTCCACATAAGGCAAGGTCAGTGTAGAAAGACAGTCACCACAGCAGTAAACTAAGCCACTACCTTCCTTTGGGGCAATGGGATAAAGAAGAGGGCTCTGTATCAATACAGTCAGCACAATTAGTTTCTTCAAAGTTCAGTTTTCTTAAGAAAGAAAGAAAGAAAGAAAGGAAGGAAAGAAGGAAAGAAAGAAAGAAAAAGATGGTGCATCTCATTTTGAAGGAGATGAAGGCAGAGTTCAAATTTATTAGTCTTCATTTGAGCCTTAGGAAGGAATGGATCAGCTCCCATTTTCTTTCCACATTTTGTGTTCAAGAAGCTGTAAACAGAGCCCCCCACGGCTGGACTTGTGGCACACAGTGACTTTCTCACACTGCAACGTCACCCTAAGTGCTTATCTTAGACAGGTGGGCATGTACACAGCACAGAACTATAAACAAAAACAGTGAAGCAAACTTATTTTATTTTTAGGTAAAAACATTAACCTGATGGATTACTGCAGATCTGAGAAATGAGCACACAAACAAATGGACAGCATTGTTTACAGGTGCTTTGATCTGTGTGGAGACAAAGGCTGAACAGTTCGTCTGCAATTAACACTGGGAGAAGACGAGAGGAAAATATAGACTGAGAACAGAAATTTAAAACAGGAGTAAGGGAAGGAAAAAAATCATTTAAAACTCCAACACGGAATGAAAAGTAATTCATTTAAAACTTTCTATCATTTTAAAATGGTCTGGCAATAAGATAAATGCTGGCCAGTCCAAGCTGTGGACCTTTAACCTACACAGAAAAATAAATGCACTTTCTTGCCTCCTTACCAGAGTGAAGGAAATATCATGTAAACAGACCGGTCTAGTGTCACTTGGCAAAAAGCCAGGAGATGCTGTAACTATAACCTAAGCTATAAGAAAAGCCTGCCTCCTACCTAGCTAGTTACAAAGGTTGAATTATATTGAGAATATTATTTCAATTCAATAAATTTCAAATTGTATTTTAATTTGAAAGAACTGAGTATGACAAGGCCCAGAGCTAATGAAAATGTCTTAACTATTCATGTTGTATTATTTAAAAAAAGGAAAAAGAAAATACAAATGTGTATGAACTGCAGAGGCAGTAATGAAGTAAGAAAAGAAAATTAGAGAGGTGGAAAGCACACAGAACCCATTTACTAAACTAGAGTTGTTAAATCCACAAGAGTTTAATGTCTGTACTTATGTACACAAGTTGTCTTTGGAAAAAACAAACTGCAAACTTAGCTAGATGGATACACACAGCCCAGAATTAAACTGCACAGCGACATTTTTATTGTTCCAGCCTGAAAAAACATCCCTTTGAAATTTCACACAGCAAAGCAAGTTAAAAACTTCACTCATCAAATAAATGATAATTTAAACAAGAACTTGCTAAAGAAACTTCATCACAACAACGTTTTAGGGCCTGATCACTTTAAGTCCACGGGGCCATTATGAATTATAATCTGCAAGCCGTTTTCCTACAACAAGAAGGAGAAACATGTTTCCTTGACTCAGGTGACACACAGAAAAGAAATCATGATTTTTTTCTTTTGCTGTAACAGGCAGACACTGATTTCTTGTTGTGATCAGGAAAGATGGAACGACTGTTGGCCTTCTCTTGCTGCTATCAACAGTTTGTCACGCATTATCTCAATGCTCGAGTAGTCCGGCAACTTAAGATAGTTCACACAAGTCATTACAGAGGGTAAGAAGTCATCTGGGTTTTCTGTTGATTCAAATGTCTTCCGCACAATTGTCAGAGGTGGATTTAAACTCCGGAACCCTAGTTAAGAGGAAGAGTTCCAGAAATTTGGTTAATTTTATTAAAAAGTCACCATTATCACAAGACATATCGTTGCTTTGTTCTAGTGTTAAACTCCCACACAAAGTACTCCTCTCTCCTGGCTAACGATGGCTCACTGACTAAGAGAATTGGCCACTCTTCCAGAAGAATCAGGCTCAATTGCCAACACATACAGGGTGGCTAACAGACATCTCTAACTTGAGTCCAAGGAGGATCCAACACTCTCTTCTGGCCTCAGAAATACTTGACAAGCAAAACACCCATATAGAAAATAAAAACGGAAAAATCCAAACAAAGCAGACTCGTTCAATTTTTATTTCCAGAATGTATTCTTATCTGAATCAACAAAGAATTTAAAATCTGCAAACAGTCTAGAACTTCATCTAAGCAACATTCCTGTGTATTACCGATTATTATTATTATTATTATTTAAGTAAAGCAGTCTCTGAATTTCCTTGCCAGTTTCTTCATACTCCTAAGCAGATAGGCTGGCAGCTTAGGAACATAATAGTATTGTAATAACTAGGAGATACTATACTCCAAGTAATGGACTAGCTCTAAAGACAAATGATGTTTTTTTACTCACAGAATTAAGGCTAAGCACAGACACTACCCACCTCCAACTGGCAATCGTGGGCTACCAGTCACAAACTGGAGAAACAATCTCTGCTGTTCATTATCAAAACTACTGAGAATCTCAAACAAGAACTTCACGGCTCGACTAAAACAAAAAGTGGAACAGAATTATTCTGTGTTAAAACACTATGTCAATATACCAAGTCTTACTTATAATTATTAATATCTATTTTCAGATATAGTTACAAATGAACTCTCATTATAACATACTTTAAAAGTTTATTTTGTCAACATAATTGAAACCCTAATGGAACAACTTGAGCAAAACTCAATTTTAGAAGAAACTTCCCACAAACTGTGGTGAGTTGATCCCTCTCCCTCTAAATCCCTAACTATTAACTGAACAGGCAGATCCCACACTTACCTGTCGTGAGTATAGCCATGATCAGGCCTACAGCATTCCATCAATGTCTTTGCATCCCAGGTGTCTGCTTTACTGCCGCACAGGAGCTGATCCAGCTTTGAGACGAAATAAGGAGAAAGAATTAGTAAAGAAACAACTGCATGCTTGGGTGACAAGTAGCTAAGGACATGGCTTCCAGGGTGCTACTCTGTCAAGTCCCTTTCACACTGAGCAGCAGGGTGGCCTGGACTAGAATGATGCTGCTGTACTTTACTTTCACACAAGGATCCTATCTCCCCACCCCAAGGCCTCTAGAACACCCTTATTTAACAAATTTCCTTAATCAGAAAATTTCCTTAGCCTTTCCCAAAACTCCAAGCCCTTACTCCAAAATGCTGTAGAATGGTAGGGTTTGAAGCAATAAGGTAAACTATTCTGCTACAATATCACAGGCAGAAATGAATGTCTTTTAGATGTGAGCTACTCACTTCTTCTGGGTAGAAGTACTGAAGATGACTGAGTGGGAAAACTGATTCAAATCCATCTCTGAACGAGTCAAATTGCCTAGAAACACCTTCATTTAGTGCCCAGAATATCACCAACTGCAAAAAGAAGACACTTTTAAAACTCCACAAAATTCCAAATCAATATAATATGTGATAAAGTATAGTAAATAACCTTCTAGAATCATCTTAAAAACTAAAACTTAAAAAAAAATACACAAAAATAAACTCAGGTGGTGGTGGCGGTGCATGCCTTTAATCCCAAGCTCTCCTTCCAGAAGAGAATCATGTTGTCTTACCAGAAGTTCCAGACAATGTTCCAAGAGGTTAAAATGTTACTGAAATTAAAGATTAACATTTCAAAATTCTTAATTAGCAACCAGCCACACTTTTAATGTGGAGTGTTGACTTTTAAATTGTCAAGTACTGAGAACCATCCTCTGCAGTGTGTGCCTCTTCTTAGAAACAGATACAGCTTGGATATTCAGGAGAACAAAATTGAGATTAAGAAAAAGCAGCCCTAAATTTACTCAGCTCCCAGTGGCCCTGATTAATTTATTGGTACACAGAACATTCAACTAACAGTTACAAAGTATGTTTAGAAAAGCAAGGATATAGAAGTTTGTACATTATTTGTTAATAAGTTGGAAACACAGCTTCCCCATAGATGGAAGAAACAGGTAATACAAGAAGATACCTGATTAGTTATTTTAAAAAATTACTTGAGTCACAGGGCTGTTGGGAAGTCAAGAATCTTGGATATTATCCTCTTTTTAAATAAATAAAGAAACTGGAGTGAAAGTTTTTCGGAGACTCTGCAGTCCCACACAAGATTTTAAGTAAGGTCAAGGTTTCAAAATGAGTACTCTAGCTTGAATCCAATGTTCTTTATAGCCCGTGTCAGGTATAAACCCAAGTAAACTTTTAAACGTCGCTAAATGGAAAAATACAGCCTGCAATTTTTGCATGCAACAGGAAATAGTTTCTCCTACATTTAGCAACCTTAAGTCTACAGTTGTAAATACCTTTGGGGAGAGCCCAACAAAGACATTAAGTGTGGTATGTGTGCCTATATCAGTATTTTAAAAGCAATTCTGCCAAGGCTTAAAACAGGACAGAAATGTAGCTCACACAAGTGATAACTTCTTTTTGCTGATATCTTCTCTTACAGGAGAAAAATGCAGTGTAATGCATGGTATTCAAGATCAGGGTTAAAGACAGGCCAATGGAAGATGCATGAGGCACCAAGAAAAAACTGGTAAGCTTTTTACAGACATGTTTTCTGCAGAGTAAAGAGATACGAAATACAACCTTTCAGCTCTAGAGCTTCTTCCCAGGCTGAGAGAAGATAAGTGGCATCTATGTATACAATGCTGCTCCATCATTATGGAGCCTTTGATGGGTGAATAACAGCTAAGGAAATCCACTGTGTCCTTTGAGGTAACACAGGATAAAATTTAAGGTCACTTTTCTCTAAGTCACCATTGGGGTAAGCAGCAGACAGAGTTCACAATGTTGAGGGTCATCATAAAAATGGACTATGCTGGACCTACTCAATATGCAGTTTTTGGTAGCAGATTATGAGACTGGGTGGAAAATTGTGTTTCAATGATCCACAAAGTCCATCTATCTATCCACAGGTCTCACTTTCTATGTTTAGACTTTTGTGTCTATTTTAAAAGTGTGGAGGAAGCTAACTTCTTATGGTTTCTTTGTTGTTGTTTTAGCATAAAACATTTGTGTGTTCTCTACAAAGTAAACAGAAGCTTACAAAGGCTAAAATAAAAGGGCCTCCAAGAATGGTCCCAGTGGTGTACAAGGTCTTTAGCAAAGGTCCACACAGGCAGAAGCTAAGAGATCAAGTTCCATCAACCCTAACACACCTCTTCATAGAAACACAGAAGACAAACTCCTATGGCTCATGACCCACAGAAAAAAGACAATACATACTCTTAGGTAGTCCTCTAAATTGTGGATAGTGACTGGTATATCCTTTCCTCCTTTCTTCAGTTCAATGTTGGGAAATCCCGGCAGTGTAAAGTCCAGTCCCAGATCTTCCACTGAGCAGCCATTCATTGTGAGAGTTTCCAAAGCATACTGTAGACTCTCTTTAGTCTTTCAATGCAGAGAGGAAGAGCACAAAAATTCATGCAAAATTATATTGTATTCACAAAAATAAGACCTAACACTGTAATAATTGATGGTTCCTTTAGTTCCCGAGTAAATTTTTGGTCATATACTACTTATTAAACAAGCCGCTGGGATCACAAAGGAAATCATTTTAAACACCTCAGTATCAATACAATTATTTTTGTGGAGAGAAACGAGATTGCTGGAGTTATTTTCCATACTGAGAAGTAATTTCTCCCTGAAAGCACATTCAAATCACATATTAGAGAAAGTCTTTACACATTTTTGTTTAATGTTAAACAAAAAAGAAAAAAAAACTTTTCTTTATTCTAGGCCATTATTTATAAGCCTAACTATATACCCATGAATTATATAAAATTTGTAAAATTACTGACAGTGTAATAAACTTTTCCCCTACAAGGCTCAAGTGTAAAGCACACCCTGGAGATGTTCACTTCTTGTCCCCAAAGCACAGCACAGCTTTGTATAGTTGGGGTGGGTGGCTTCCAAGAAAGCTGAGCCACATCACATCAAACCCACAGGATTTTTAAAAATGCTTACAACTGGAAAAGGCTACATAAAATGCTTTTTTTTTTACAGCATTAAGGTTCAATGACAAACACAAAAATTTAAGTACTAAAAATAAAGACATTTAATTAATGCTGATTCATTAGGAAGTTCTCGAACTACCCTTCATTAAAGCAGATGGGATTATGGGAAACAAGTGAGGATGAAATGGAAGAAAAGTCAAGAGAGAGGAACACAAGAAATACTGGAGTTTGCTCTCAGGAGAAATCTAGATAGAACATTTGCAGGCCTACCCATGCAGATACACACAATACAACAACAGAAAGGATACTACCTTGGGGGAAGAAAGTTAATGGAGTCGGGGAAAGGTAAAAATGTGTAAAGTACAATAATGCATTTGAAAAAATTCTTAAGAAACCTATGACTTTGTACTTTAAAAAATAAAATAAGCCTGTCTCTAAACAACCTGTCACAGATCAAAGCGATCCCAACTGTCTACCCCAATTACGTAGTCGTGTATAACATTCAGTACATTCAGAACATGTTTAAAGAGAATAGACTGACTGTTAGTTTCTCTGGCTTATATACTAGATTAGACTTAACATATTCCCAATTATCTTGTGAGAATCTAACCTACCGAGTCAAGGGTCTAAAGCTCAGTAGTAGAGTGCTCGCCTTGCAGACTTTAAGTGGCAGGTGTGGTCCCTAGCACTGTAAACAAGCAGGTCAAATCTGAGCCTGAAAAATGTGCCCCATTTGTATGTTTTATAAGACAAGGGGACAGTGGGCCAGGGATGTACCTCAGCTGTTTATGGCTTACCTGTCAGTACTACATAACCTGACATTGTGACAAACATCTTTAATTCCAGCATTTGGATTCAGAGACAGGAAACTCAAAGTAATCCTTGGCTACATAGTACATTTACATGAAGTTAGGACACCAACTGTACATACATCTTACAAGATTGTGTATATGTGAGGTAATCAAAACATGCTACAACTTTTATCTCCTTTCCTTTTTTCCCATTTTGTATGTAATACATGCTAAATAATGTGACAGAAGTTTAAAGTACTAGTGTCTGCAAACCTTTGGATAAGAATAAGGAATCACCCCTGAAGTTCAATGGACAGCTAGTCTAGTCAACCAGTGAAATTTAGGCACAATGAAGGATGTATCCCAAAACATCAGGTGGAGAATGATTGAGGAAGATATCCAAGGTACATCTCTGGACTAAGCAAAGACAACAAAAATCTTGTAGTTATTCAGTACAAACCTATGCAATTCTAAACAACTTCTTATAATATCATGTATCCATTTATTTTTGTGTCTGAATGTGTCTCTTTGTCAGAATATTCACCCACATGTGCACTGTGTGTCCAGTTAAGAAACTGTCAGGTTCCTGGAACTACAGTTACAGATGACTGTGACCTACACCAAGGAGGTATGAGAATCGAACCTAGATACCCTTGAGAAGAGTAGTAACTGCTGAGCTGTCACTTCAGATCAAATTCTAAACATAAGATTAGTTCTTATAGAGAAATGATTTAAAAAAAAAAAAAAAAGACCTAAATTGTGTCTTAGTTTCTTTTCTGTTGCTGTGATAAATGATTGAGAAATCCAACTTAAATGAGACAGGGTTTATAGCAAGTTACAGCCTGTTCCAGGACAGTCACAGTGGTAAGAGCTTGAGAGAACTGTTCATATCACAGCCACAGTCACAAGCAGAGCTCAACAGATTAACATAGATGCTCAGCTCACTATCCCTACTCTTACATAACCTCTGCTTATAGAATAGAGCTATCCACTGCAAGCTAGTCTTTCTATATCAATTAACATAATCAAAAAACTCAATGCAGATACACCGCCAGAGGCTAGACTCAATCTAAGTAATTCCACATGGGTATGCCCAGAGGCTTGTCTCCTAGGTGCTGACAATTAATACTAATAACCGTTACAGCATCTTTAAACACTGTCTCCTCATAAACATAACTGGGAGATAAAATGAATACCCTTCCAAATTATCTTCCAGTCTCTACTGTATGTACCACCAAGGTGCAACACTGTCTTTTATTAGCTTGCTTTTATTTTACCTTAAATAATCGTAAAGTGCTAGAAAGATAGCTGTTAACTGTACTGGTGCTGATCTTACAGGGGACCTAGAATCCATATGATGGCTCATAGACCTGATGCCCTCTTCTGATCTCTTTAGGAACCAGGCACTCATGCAGTATATAAACTTACATACAGGCAGTCATACATACACATTAATACAAATAAATAAGCTATGAAATGACAGTTGGTTAAACCTACACAAATAGAAGCTACTGCACCATGTTATGTTTTAGGAAATACAACCTGTTTTCTTCTGATATTCAATACGCATACATATAATCACAGATTAGCCTAAATGAGCTGATAATATATACATTTAAAAACACAATAATGATAGAGGATCAAGATTATGAGACGAAACAGAAACCTTAGACATCTATGAATCTTTTATTAAAAATACTGGATAGTGAGCCTAGCACCTCACACATGCTATTTTAAGTGCTTTACTATTGAGCTGTATAGTCCCAGCCTGTCAATAACCACTAAAAACTATTTCCAAGCTAGGCGTATTGGTATAAACTCGCAATGCAAGCAGAACCTGTGGTGAAGAGGAGAAAGCAGACAAAAATAGAAATACCTTTCTGAAGAATTACTGAGAAGGCATCTCATTATCTAAAATTTAAGACAAGTGGTCTTTGAACTTTCATTAGAAGTATATTTAGAAGTCAAGACATGGACTTGCTGTTATTAGAGACCACCATGGGTACACTGTGAAATCATACTTCTGTTAGTTTAAAGGACACATTAAACATCTCCAATAAAATGAAATATTGCTGGGAAAGACAGATGGCTCAGTGCTTAAGACTTCAGGGCAATTGTTGCTCTTTCAGTTTCTAGCTCCAATGTGACAGCATCTGATGTGCTCTTCTGGCTTCCAAAGGCATTGCATGCAATTAATATACAAACACACATGCAGGCAAACACCCATAAAGATAAATACATGTTTTTAAATTAAAAAGCAAAGTAAATACTATCGTCAAATTAACTAGGTCAAATACAAACCAGTGAAGAAGTCTCATAATTCTGACACAAAGAACTGATCTGACCCTCTGGCCATCTCCTCTAGACCTACCTGGGACTTATCCTGCTCCAGTCTTTTCTTCTGTCTGACAATGTCTTCTAGGTGATATACTGATCTGGCAACAACAGGATCAATGTCAAATAAATCATGAGATGTCAGTGAAGTTTCCTGCCGCAGCATCCATTTATAAAAGGGCAGGCCAAGCGGAAGGTCCACCTGAAAGGGAACAGGCAACATACTTTGTCACAACTAGTTTGTAAGAGGTCATTTGAAAAGGTCAAATACTCTCCAAGAAAAAAAGCAATTTAGGAACTGTTTCTCTTTACATGAAACCAAGAGCCACAAATTGGGGCCCAAATCTCTGTCAACATTTTAGAAGGTTAAAGAACCTATAAACAGGTTTTTTAAATAGAAAGATGGCTCAGAGGTTAAGAACATTGCCTGCTATTCCAGAGAATCCAGGTTCAATTCCCAGCACCCACATGGCAGTTCACAACTATCTGTAACTCTAGCAACAGGAGATCCGACATCCTTACACAGGCAAACATGCAGGCAAAACACCAATCAATGCTCATAAAAATAAACTATTAAAGAAACCTATTTAAGCATAACACAAAAAGAGAAATGAACATACAATATCCATTAAAGTTTTTACCTGAGTACCTCTGAAACACTATGAAGTGTTTTGACTTTATTTTGAACCAAGTAAACTCAATACAATTCTACTTATGCATTTAATATTTTGAAATCAGAGAAGGTAAAAAGAACTTACTTAAAACAAAAAATTAAAATGATAGAACTTCTAAAATAACTGAGCTGTATACATCTCTTTGCAGAGAATGTAGACTTGTGGGTTTATCAAATGAAAATGTCTCACTCATATTGATAAAGTAAGAAAATGTGAGAAGAGGAAATGAAGAAAAGTCCAGAAATATTCAAACCTTAATGAATACTGATCACTTGGTTTATTTACGCAAGAACATCTAACAGAAATTCAATGAGTTTACCTACAATGCTCATGGCTTTCTTGCTGAATTAAAATCTAATTGAATCCTGAAAAAATTTCAATTAATGCCATCTTTATGTTGCCGGACTCTGAACCCTGGCTACTAAAGGAATGGGTTGGGTGCTGTTACCTCAGACACAGGACAGCCTTATATGTGTGCTACAGAAGCAGAACTGGCATTTTAAACAAAACTCTCAAGCAGCTGGTGCACACATTGGAAGTAGAGCAGCAGAGCTCTAACACACAGCACTGAGTGCAGGGAACTGAAGTACTTTCACAGAACATTGTACAAAATTACAGATAAGCAAACAATCCTAAACTTACCAATCTGAAATCCATGATAGCCTTAGCCATTAATTTTCCTAAGAAGCGAAACTTCATCTTAACCTTTGCGATATGAGCTGGCTTAGCTGTCCTACCAAAGGGAAGCGCAAACAGGCCCTGGAGGTTTTGAATATACTTGGTCCCTTCTTGGCTTCCTGTAAAACGAACAAGTCACCAAATTTCAGATGAGATTTTCCAAAACAAAACAAAACCTAGTAACTAAGAACATTAAGAAATTCAGTATTCACAAAATTGGAGCAATGACCTCTAAGCTGGAAAGCCTTCCCTCTGGATAAGTGAGAAAATAGGGGCAAAAAGAAATCAAAGGCCAAGAACACAGCCCCAGCAGAGACTAAGATGGAGGCCCCCTTACCTGATCTGAGTCATACAAACTGAATGGCTCACAGCTGCACATTACCTTTTGGATTGCTAAGAGTTACTTCTTCACCTCTCCAGAGACCCAAATCAGCCCTCTGTAGTTCCTGAGAAACAAGTGCATAAAACTCCAGTGTTGGCCCAAGACCTGTACCAACCTAGAAAAAAATAAAATAAAAAAAAATCATTTTAGAAATTGTGGTGCCTTTTATGCCTGGCAACCTCTTGGTAACATGGACAATCATACAAGGTGTTTGTCAGGAAGCGTAAGAGATAGTTTTGTAAGATGTCCTGAATAGACATTCAGTCTTGGGCACTAGAAACCCTTTATCATTCCCCTAACCCCAACATTCCAATTGTATGGTTGAAAACTCTTGTTGCAGTTATGAATTTTTCCTTTAGAGAACAATGTACTATTTACACATGCTTATTTTTCTCTTTAAGGGAATTATGAACCTCAAACAACTCAAGAGCCATCTTCTCAGGAGAAGCCTCCCAATCTCCCCCAAACAATTAGTTTGGCTATTTCCTATGACATTCTAGGGTTTTACCTCTATTCCATTACATACTTGCAAGTTTTAAATGAAGAGAATTATTTTGACTGCCTTGAATCCCCAGAATCTAACATACATTTAATAAGAATCTAAGAGTTAAAATTCAAGGCCCAAATTCATGTCAGGAAACAGAAGCTTAGCTCAGTGGCCCCTATAAGTCCAAGGGTACACTGGAAGCCCAAGACAATTATCAGTGTTACCACACATGCACCCATGTGTGAGAACACAGCATTTCAGCGGTAGGAGTCAGGGTGGGGGATCTGGAGCTATTTTTATTTAAAAGTGAAAATTCAAAGGTTCAGCTTCCAAAGTTTCTACGTGACAGCACCATCATCAATATGCTTGGAGCAATGTTCACAGACTCAGCATTCCTCCATGTTCCACCAGTTTAGCACGTAATAAACAAAAGCAAGAAACAATAATAAACTTATGTCACAGTTCAAGATTATAATGTAACAACAATTGTTCAAGTGGCTACTCGCTTACAAACCATGTGCAAATAAGAGATATTTTATTATTACATGTACTTCTAAAATGGTGCATACTATCGATCCTAAAAGTTTGACTTCTTGCTGGCTTTTCTTAAATTATCCTACTTTTTAGCCACTGGGCTTTTTCTTTTTCTTACTTCATGCCTTACTTTCACTCTTCCTCCTAGCTTTGGCTGGTCTCTAGTGTCCTCCTCCCTTCTTCTCTCTTACTCCTCTCCTTTCCCTCAATTCTCCCTGTTTATACTCTCTGCCTGCCAGCCCCACCCATCCTTGCTCCTGTCCTGCTATTCTTTATCAGGACCATCAGGTATTTTATACAGGCAAAGAATCACATCTTCACAGAGATAAACAAAAGTCACATACCTTTATATTACCCAACACCAGTCACTACACAATATAAGCTGTTATCCCTTAAAAGCACATTCTAAACTAATGATTCTCTACCACCCTCTTTTATCTGATCTGCCTGAGGTTGCTGAATGAGGATGTACACCAGTGTTCCTAACATCTTAAATACATTAACAGTGAGTGATATTTCCTAAGAAAAGCTTTCTTGTTCAAAGGACAGCACATATATTTTTAACCACAATCTAATAGCTTACATAGACTATTCTAGTATCTCTACTTCCAGCATCATTGACCTGGACTCCTACTGCTATATCCTAATTACTATTACCTCTAGCCACCTTGATCCCATGAATAGCTGGAACACACTGCCTCAGTTATTCTGTTAGAACCATTGTCCCAACAGCAGGGACTTGCTGACAACTCAAATGTCACCTTAGAACCGTATTACCTACCATCTTTGCCAACGTGTTCCATCTTCTTTAACCTTTCTAGATCACATAGTCTAACGTGGTGGTGTGGTGTGGTGCGTGTGAGAGAGAGAGAGAGAGAGAGAGAGAGAGAGAGAGAGAGAGAGAGAGAGACTTTCAAACTAAAGAAAACCTCCACAATACTTTGCTCTCCAATTTCCAGCCACTGAAAAAAAGATTAGACATGCAGTAACACATGTTGTCCACAAGATGGCCCTCCAATGCCATTTAATTCTCTATTCACAAAATTATCCCCAAATGATCATAAGTCTATTACTTTCTCTTAAATGGTTATTTTTAAAAGTAAAAATGGATTTAAATTAAAGCATTAAATTCTACAGGTGCTACTGAACTGACTAAAGGAATACAACTCCCTCCTAAGGCTGTTCAGGAGTATTCTCCCCCAACATTCTACTGAAGTAGAGTTACTTAGTTGGTCTGTCTTATTTCCATTTTTAAAGAGAGGAAAATATGACATAGTCCAGGAATAAAATTACAGAATAAAAGACTGTCTCAATAAAACAAATATAAAATCCAAAACAATAAAACAACAACAACTTGGCTTAAAATAGTCTTTTTATCTCAAAGTTAACACAAACCAGCATATTTATATGCCAGGCAATAAGTGTTATACATATTTTAATTTGCTAACCATTCTAGCAACATGATGTGATGAATATATTTTTTCCCATGAAGTTGGATTCCGTAACTTTTTCAGAACAGGGAAGACATACTAAACACCATAAACTGCTGGGTTTTGCACTAGCAGTTCAAACCTTAACCCTAAGCAGAGTCAGTGAAAACAGAAAAGCTGTTCTGAACTCATATTAGGTCTCATTTAATTTAACAGTTTATGTTTAGATCATGCCTATTGTGTGCCTATCAGCGAATGCACATGTTTGTGCAATCCAAGTGTTCAGGTTTCAACGGACAATTTATGTTAGACATTTCTCTTTCCATCATGTGAGTTCCAAGGATCAAACTCACGTAGGCTTAGGTTTACCCCAGCTACAATTTGAAGTTGAGAATTAAAAAAAAAAAGGCCATCATTTAGAAAAGAAAAACACTGGAGGAAAAAAAAATAGAAAGCATGTTTAAACACACCTGGTGGTTCACAGCCAAGATTTTACAGTCTTACAAATAAAAAATTTAAGTACCACATCCTGTGGGCAAAATCTTTTGAGGAAAGATTAAAAAAAAATCCAAACCAGTACTAAAAAGTTTCTAAGCTCATTAACTCTCTTCTTCATCTCCCCTGCCTCCAAAACTTTCAGATAGCACTGGCTTATGTCACTTGTCACCAAGGCCCAAACCCTTAAATCAAGTCCCAATGTGCTGGAAAATATCCCTCTTTCCAAGAGTTCTTGTCTTTGTAAGACAGGCTCAATCCCCTGCCTGAATGCCTCATTCATGTGGCACCTATCTATACCAATCATTTTCAATGCCCTTTTGTTTTTGTGCTTCTGGCCATAATCTGGACCACTGACACATAATGCACTTCTCAGTACACAGACCTCTGATTTATTTTGGCGATTGAAGGCTCTTAGAGTCTTCCAAGAAAAGTTATTATAAGATTATGTTTAAGAAAATGAGGAAAAAATAAAAGCCATGACTACAATTATTTAAATAGCTACTGGTAATACTGCAAACAAAACTATTAAACTTACAGTGTACTTACTATGATACAATGTTTTAACTCTACACACACACACACACACACACACACACACGTGAACTCTGAGGTTATTATTGCACTTCTATTACCCTCATTTTCACACAAGAAAACAGGAGCAAAGTAGTGGAGATTCAGTGACATTAAAATCATCAACCCCCGGAATCTACATGCTAGGAGGAGAAGACTGACTCCACAAAGTTGTCCTCTGAGCCTCACACAGATATTGCACACACCCACACACATGCCCACATATTCATACCCAATAATAATAAAAAAGTGCAAACTGTCTGTAATACCAGAGCTTAGGAGGCTGAGGCAAAAAAAAAAATACTAAATTCAAAGCTAATCTGTATTTCACAGTAATCACTCATCACAAAAAAAAAGGGTGGTGCCTTGCTTGACTCCATGACTCATTTATTATATACAAATTAGTGTAAAAATGATCACTGAATGAGCTAAAATAATAAAACACAGGATTAAAATCTGAGATATCATTCATGGAAAATCTTACAATGTGTTTACATTTACATGAAAGAAAAAATGACTGATTAATGATAAACTGAAAGCAAATGAGCAGCCATTTATAAATCCAGATAACAGTTGTTTTGTTTTCTCAAGACAAAGTCTCTCTATACATCTGCCCCAGCTGTCCTGACCAGGCTGGCCTTGAACCCAGAGATCTGCCTGCCTCTGCCTCCTGAGTGCTGGGATTAACTTTTATCTCGATGATAAAGCAAAACCAAACTAAAACCTAGTGAAAGGTCTGGGCATCTTCTCCAAAATGGCCAAGGAACCAACAAGCAATGCAAAAACAGTATGTTTTCAAATCATACCAAGATCCTACTACTAACTCATTACTAATTTCAATTATTAAAATTGAAAAACCTGGTAACACCAAGTACAGACTCATAAACACTGAAATAACATCAGAAATAACATCACTGGGAAAAGAGAAAAACCTGTTACTCTACTGATGTAAAGTATGATAGATACTTCTTAATAAAATTAAAATATATTACCAAATGATTTAGTAATTGAGCTATATATCCAAGAGAATCACAAATATGTTTATTACAGAAAGGCTTGAGCATGAATGTTATAACATTGTCACTAAAACTCAAAAAAAAAATGCCCCAACTAGATATTGACACATATTAAGCCATCTGTGAGATAAAATACACAATAAATGGAAAATTAAAACAACAACAAAAAACTATATAGTATGAACGAGGCCTGCATGCATGGAAGAAATGAAAGAAGAGACACAACAGCCACATTACTGCATGAGGCTATAAATATACGGAAAAAAATAAAGAAGAATAGGAAGCTAGGCCATAGCTGTTATGGAAAGTCTTTACAAAGATGGGTGTTCTTCACTTGCCATGGTGAAGATGGCTCCTGTTGGCATATATATATATATATATATATATATATATATATATATATATATCAACTCTTAGAACATGATTTATCAATAAATCAACTCTGAAAATGCAGTCCAAGCATTTCTGAAATAATGATTCTAAGAACAGCCTTTCATTTCATGAACATTATACAATTATGTGCATAATTATGCCAGGAAAAAAAAATCCCGTTTCTTATTTTGCATTTAAACCCTTGAAAAATGGAGAACTTAAAACATATCATTAAAGAGAAAATAGACCAAATCTTTTTAAAGTAAATTTTCTAGCTGCCTTTCAGAATTACATAGTACCAATATGCACAAATGATATCACACCATCAAGGAGTCCAAAACTCACCTCATTTTCATACTGGATTTCTAACATGGCCCGTGAACTACCAAGGTCCTGCATCACAGACTCAGCTTGTTTTAGCAGCTCCTCTCTGTTCACAGTGCGCTAACAAAGGAAACGGATGTGAAAAAATAAGAAATAATGCTCCAGGTAGCACTTACTGCAGTGCAAAATAGATTTCATTGTCAGAAAATAATTCCTTTAAGCACATCTCTTAGGAAGGCTACAGTATTTGCACTGTTAAAACATACACAAGTCCCTGAAACTGACCAGATTCACTACCCTCCATGACAGATTAAACAATAAAAAGGTGAGAAGACTCTCAGGTGAGCTAACCTTCCAAGACTTGGACAAGCTAAGCTGCAAAGAACACTCTCAGAGGAGAAAAGCTGCAAAGAGAAGTCAGGGAACAGAAGTTACCTGGAAGAACGAGAAACCAACTGAGCTGCCTGGAAGAGGTTTAGACCAACTGAGGAACCTATTGAGTTGTCTGCAGCCTCCATGTTCCCAGCTTTGTCATGCATGCTGGGATGGGCTTTGATAACTCAACCATCCTTTGAGTAATTTTTGCTTCTATAAGTAACCGCTCACCTATATTCCTGAAAGTAACCCTAATAAAACTCATCTTCATGACACTGGACTTTGGTGAAATCTGTACTTAGTTCTGTTGTGGATTCCCTAACTGGCTTGAGTATCTGTGTGCTGTGTCTCCCCAGGAAAAGTTTTGTCACACAAATGTTTTGCATGTATGAAAGAAAGCTAGATATAAATAACTAATATAACCTGACCCATGGCAAGTTTAGAAAATTAAGGTTAGGAAAAAGATCTTTGCTACTTTGCCAAACAGTGGTATAATTCAGGGCTCCAGCTACATGAAATAATCTTGGGACATTTATACACTGATGATAGAGAAGCGGGTAGAAAGATGACAGAGGAGACAGGTAAGCTGGAAAACATATAGGTTCTGAACATCGAGGTTCTGCTACAAGAACAAGATGCCCCGGAATGAGACTATGATGATGGTGAAGATAAAGACCCTGCCATTCAAACAGCATCACGACAATTGATGACTCCATCAATGAGATAAAGAAATGGCATGATGCACTGTTAAATACAGCTACCTGGGTGTATATGTGTTTGTTTCTAATTACAACCACTCCGTCTACCTTTTGTTATCCCTAATGGCTCTTTGAGATAAAAAAAAAAAACTTGGAACAGACCACAGAAAAGTCATGGAAGAAAACAAAAAGCAAACAAAAGAACAGTGGAGGTCAACCAGGCAATATTGCACATCTTTAATTCTACCACTTGGGAAACAGAAGCAGGAGGGTCTCTGAGTTCAGGGGCAGCCTGGTTTACAGAGTGAGTTCCAGACAATCAGGGATACACAGAGAAATCCTGTCTGAAAACACACACACACACACACACACACACACACACACACACACACACACACCAGTGCAGATCAAAAGGTTGGGATTTGTCTCACATGAAATGGCATGGGTACAACTGCAAGCCAAGATTAGAAGCATGATAGATGATGAAGTCAGTAAAACTGGAGCTGACTGGGACAAATTCAAAATATATCAGGGATTCTGTTTTACTCCCTTCCAAATGGGCTACCAGGCTAAAGGGAGTAAAACGCATCTAATACACAGAGAGTCCATTTTAAAAGAGAAGTTTTTCAATATAAAAAGGAAGAAATTAAGGTGTGTTAGTAAGATTCATGGTAACTAAATGAAGGATGTTATTTCAGAAATAATAGAAGACAAAATAGTAACAGACAATACAGTTTCAAGAGGCTCATGGGAAAATATACTAACAGAGGTGGTTTTTTAAAAGATAGAATAATAGTGCTCAGCAATTAAGAGCGCTTGCTACTTGTCTCTCAGCCCCCACATCAGGCAGCTCACAACCTCCAGCTGAAGGGGACTCAGTATCTTTGCTTTTAGCCACAACCATAAACACACTCACAGACAGACCTAAGGATCAAGTGAAGGTTGTTACTCCACAGGCAGAATCAGATGTAGTACTTTAGGTCTTGTCTTTAATTTGGAAAGCTCAGCATAAATAGATACTTATTTGTAGGAAATGCTTACCTTTTTTCTATCCAATCTAGGTGCAACTCTGCTGTCTTGCGAATCAGACTGGTTGATTTCTGGGTTGGTATCAAGCAATCTTTGCATTGCCCGGTCTCGATCAAATGCAGTTACATAAAAAAGCATTTGTCGGGTATCAAAAGGAAAGAAAAATGGGCTATAAAAGATAAAATACAAATTTACCATCTGTGTGAGAATCAAGAGACATTTAAAAAACATCAAGATTTATACTGAAAACAACTTGATATAATACACTACTGACATAACACCTTTAGTTCCAGGTCTTTGGAGGCAGAGATGAAGACAGCCAGACTATATAGAGGGACCCTGCGCTTGCGTGCGTGCGTGCGCGCGCATACACACACACACACACACACACACACACACACACACACACAAATTCCTATGTAAAATATTTTAAAAAATCTGTAACAGTTTTGTTGCCATGGAGTTTTACTGTGCTGCCTAGATTGGCTATAAACACTTAGGGGAATAGTCCCTCCTAAAATTTCCCAAATGGATGGGGCCTACAGGAGTATGCCAATACATCATCACACCTGGCTCTTGTTGAAATCACTAAATATTGAGCAATTGTATTCTATATGCCTTTCCACATGAAATCTACAATTGTCTATCCACATCCACCTTAAATCTATTCTGAAGATTTTAGGACATGCAAGCCTCCATGCCATATGAGCTCAACATTCCATACTTCACATACAAAAGTTAATGGCTTTATTATTTCGTGATATTCATCATAGGCTTAGCATTAAAAAAAAAAAAAAATCACTGCCAAGACAAGCAAGCTCCTTGTTCTCAAAGAATGAATCCTGCAGCCAAGACATTTCCTACCATGATTTTTAAGGGTTTGATTTTATTTTCCTTTTTGAGAAAAGCTCTTGAAACGTCCACCAGAATCTCTGCATTGTACAATACGGCAGCATGTAGAGATATGGTGAATCCAAGTGAAAAACTCAATTTCTAACTTGATTTTTACTGTAAGTAATAGGTCTATAGTGTCTAGTTCAAAAACAGGCTCAGAAAAACCAAGTATCACTTTCAGGAAGGCAAAGAATTTTACTGCCCTCAGTCAAATATACTTCACTGGGTTTGTCAAGTTGTCAACAAACACTACAATATTGGGAAAGATATGAACAAGTCAACTTCAACATCTCTATCACAAATCAAATCAAGACTTGTTAATACTTACAAAATTTATCAAAGGGACTATCTTACCAGGTTTTTCCTAGTTCAGTGAGCCATGATGGGATGTTTCCTGTCATGATCACTAGAGGATCTTGAAGCTGCCTATTCGCTTTTGCTGTTAACTTACTGTTAATAAATTCACTAGTTGGAATAATCTCCTTGCACATCGCATTCTGTAAAATTTTTTTAAAAAAAAAGTTCAAAATCTAGTCATTGATTCATAAGTAGGTCAGTCTGTACAATTCACCTGTTTTTGCATGCAATATCAAATCCCTCAATGGTATTTCCCATTTCTGAAACTTCCTATCCTCAAACCCCATGAAGCTGTTTCCTTCACTTGTCCTCACTATATTAAGAGGTATCCAACTGTTTACTCAATATAAATCTTTACATGAAGAAATGAGTGCTGGCAACTTAACACGAGGGAACCTCAAATTCCTTTTGGTCATGGTATTTCATCCCAACAGTTGAAACCCTAACTAACTAGGACAGAAATTGGTACCAGGATTGTGAGGTATTACTGTGACAGATCTTGAACCTTGCTGTCTTTTGTAAAACTATGGAAGGACCTTTGTTCTTTGGACTGGAGTTATTGAAGATTCAATTCAAACCTTGGTGAGCGGTGCTGTGGGAATGTGGAGGATAAGAATGCTGGTAAATACAGAGGATGGAAACCTGGCTTGTGAAGTTCTAGGGGGAAGTTTTGGGAGACAAAAACTATCATTTTCAGGACCGCTGCATATTTTGAATTAAGAACCCCTGGCTCTTGTCTGCTAGGAGGGCTCAAAGACTAAGTTGTGACTAGCAAGAGTAGCACCACTGAAGTAAAACCTTTGAGTTACTGGGACAATTGATGCTGGTCTGTTGGAGCTAAGAAATTAGCAGTGATTAAGAAGTGGTAAGTGTTTCATCAGAGTCAGCACACAGAAGCTGATCAGCTGGCAGCTGATCTTGGTAGTGAAAGAGCCACGCAGGTGGTACTAATTTTGAACACATAAAGGGGTCATGAAGAACAGAGGTTAACAGGTAGGGTGGACACTGTGGCATGACTCAAGTCTGTGAAGAGATTTGAGCCCAGGAGAAGTTGTTGGTGAAAGTGCAGACCAGCTGCAATAGACTCAGCATTTTGGAGATGCCAGCACCATGGGATGACCACCAAGGAGAGCAGCAGTAACGAAATGGAGCTTAGAAGACAACAATGTGCCCGGCAAAGGGAGCCGGAGAAGTGACCCAATCCCCTTATCGGAACCATAAGATAGTGAGTAAATGTCAGATATTGGAAATTGAGTTATTTACACTGTTGGAGTTCAGTTTTGCTTTGTTCAGATTGTGACTGTGCCACATTTCTTCCCTCTTGAATAAAAAAATGTAATTAATTTAATTTCGGTTTTTGCATTTGCCCACAACTGAGAGACTGTGAGCTTTTAAAAGAGATTTTGCAATTTTAAAGAGAATAGATTATTTTTAAAAAGACTGTGGGGACTTCATGTTTTATATTTTGATAATATTAACATGTTACTTTGGAGATGAATAAGAAAAAAGGTTTTGGTTTAAACAGTGATGTTTATGTGTCAAGTTGACAAGGAAATCAGTTGTGCTGGCTAGCTTTATGTCAAGTTGATTGATGTAAGCTATACTCATCTGAGAGGAAGGAGCTCAACTGAGAAAATGCATCTATAAACTGGGCCACAGGGAAGCCTGAAGGATATTTATTAACTAGTGATTGTTGTGGGGAGCACAGTTCATTAGGGGTTTGGCCATCACCACACTGGTGGTCCTGGGTGCTATGAAACAGCAGGCAGAGCAAGCTACCACAAGGAACAAACCAGTCAAGTAAACAACACTCTTAAATGGCCTCTGTAACTGCTGCTGCCTCCTCCAGGTTCCTGCCTTATTTGAGTTCCTGTATGGATTTCTTTCAATGATAAACAGTGATGTGGAAATGTAAGCCAAATAAACAAACCCTTTTCCCCCTAACTTGCTTTTGGTCATAGTATTTCATCACAGCAATAGAAATCCTAATTAGAACAAAATATTTCGCTATTCCCTAATAAATAAAAAACAAACAAATAAATAAAAGACTTATTCCAAGAATATTAAGTTCAACAAATAAGTTCATTGTATACATTTAGTGAATCACTGTTTCTATTTCAACTGTAATAAAGCATTCGTTTACTAAACAGACAACTGTAAGATGACACAGGATTTCATGGAGAGACATTACTCACATCATACAAGTAATACCAGTACCGACTGATGGCGTGTAAAACTCTTAAAAGAAGGATCACATCTAAAGATGGGTCTTCAAAGGTAATATTTTCAGGTGGTGTGGGAATGAGGTAAACTTCTAAAGGATTTGCTACTGATGGGCACACTCCATCTAAATGATAGAAAGTTTCAGCTTTAATCAAAGCAACAATGGCTTAAAATACAGACTCAAAGTTACCGTTACCATCTGAAACTGTGTCATGTTTAACTTCTTGGTATATCAATGTTATCAGACATTTCTTCCCTTTTAACCTTGTGCACAGTAACACATAGGCACATAAAATTTCAAGTTCCCCTGAACATACATACCCAAACAACAGTAGAAAAATAACTAACCCCTTTTGCATTCCCTTCCTGTGTGTAAAGACACCCTATGAGATTAAGGACCAATCTGTTGGTGACTAGACAAAGTCTTCAGCAGTCTTTAGTATGAATGCAATTTAACCCTTCATGAAATCATGAATTCTTAAAATATTAGAAGAATGTCATGATTGATTTTCAGTTTTAATTTTATAGATACTTAATTCTAGCTTACTAGACATTAAAGTCAAAGATTTAACTAAAAGTTAAATCTACACTATAGTAATTTATTTAATTATCCCCAAAGCTTTCTGGAGCTCTGAATCAGTTTTATTCCTAGCAGAAATGCAGAGAGGCCAGGGCCCTGCTTCTCTCAGTATGATGTCACCTTACCATGCCATAACTCATCATGCTTCTTTGCATTTCTGGGGGAAGTTTTTGTTGGAGCTGTTTGGGCTCTTCCCCTTTTGCCACCAACACAATCTTTACTATTTTCTTCATCCTCTCTCACAGGTTTGTACCTAAGGAGATATGATAGCATGAAAGTCAAATGTAGATTTTTTTTTTTTTTTTTTTTTTTTTTTTTTTTTTTTTTTGGTTTTTCGAGACAGGGTTTCTCTGTGGCTTTGGAGCCTGTCCTGGAACTAGCTCTGTAGACCAGGCTGGTCTCGAACTCACAGAGATCCGCCTGCCTCTGCCTCCCGAGTGCTGGGATTAAAGGCGTGCGCCACCACCGCCCGGCCAAATGTAGATTTTTAATGTGCAAATTATTCAGCAAAGCTAATGTTAAGTCACAGAATGCCTAAGAGTTCTCTGGAGTCTGCCCTCTTTCTCCCTATTTGGTTTCAGAGTTACCAAGCGTTTGTTTTCCTAAAACAAAACAGTAAGTCAGTCTTCCCAGGAACACTTTACTTTGGGAAATGATTCTTTTCTCTAAGTGGCAGAAACTATAAAGGCAGCATAGGAAGCCTATCCAAATGACACAGAATTCAGAGCTTCAAACTTATATATAATGTAATACCACACCATTTTGACTCCATTAAAAGACTTAAACTAATCAAAAAGCAGCTTACTGCCTATAAACATGCTTTCTAGTATGGAAGTAATGTTCATATACATCTATGCATAATAAATATTGAAAAGGCTTTTTCATAGTTCAAATGCAAGATTTAGGTTCTCCCTCTAGTCACAGAATTAGACCATGAATATAATATGAATTCTAAACCATACCACCAAGAGAAACCAGTTCAGACTTACCATATTGTATGAGTCTTTGTCCAAATACCAGCTCTTCCCAGAGGATTGCTCTCATCATCAGTAGATTCCCTTTCATCTTCAGCCTGTACACTGAACTGCCGCACTGCCTGATACACCGTCATGTTATATGGTAGTAAATGCTCTCCAATATAAAACTGTAGCCTGTGCCTTACATTTCCTGAATTTAAAAACTGAGCAGCCTGAATAAAGCAAAGAAAGGTCCATATAAGCCCAAGTAATGGCATCTATACATTAGCCAAGACATATCCTGCTGGACCTATGGTGGATGTTTGAAACTACAGATCCTCCTGAAGTCCATATATCCTGATTATCACTTACCTAAAGTGCTTTAAGACAGAAGTGATCAGAGACTAAACTTTTTATTTCAAGAATGAGGATATTTGCATATACACAGGGATGGTACCTAAGTCTAGACAATTCATATTTTGCATGCACAGATTTGAAGACAACTGAATATTATTAGTACAATTAATAACTTCCATTTTTTCTACAACCTACCACATAACAAGCAAATGTGGATTTTGCACATGTAATATCCAATTGATTTCAGATTTTGAATTCCCTCTGGGAAATTGGTGAATTTTTCCCTCTACATACACCATTAATTTATAAGCAGATACAATAAGAAACTTATAAATAAAAAATTTATTACATAAATACTCTAAAATAAACTATTTATTACTAAAAGAATTGCTCATTTCTGTGATTTTTTTTTCCAACAATGGTTGGTGAGGGGCTATTTGAACCCAGGAAATCTAAATCACAGATGCAGCATGATATAACTACAATATGGTATAAAAGGTACCTACCAGAGACTCATCTATTTCCTCATCTGATCCATCATCATCACTGTCTTCATCATCTTCTCTTACTCTTCCATACCCTAAGCAACAAAACAAAACCAACCAACCAAACAAACAAAAAATTAGGCCAAAAACATAGTTAATTAGTAATTTTAGGTGTCAGATAAAAGACACTGGTTATACTGATATTTTCTTTAAAAAGTAGATATTACATTCTGATCTATCAGAAAGAATTCTCATTCTTATCAGAAAGCATTCAACATACGCCTATTTACTTCTGGTAGGAACAGAGATTCCTACTGCCTAAGGTTTATCAGGAACAGCAATATACCCTTTAATGCTAATTTCATAACCATACAAGTAAAGGACATAGATGTAAAATACCTCTAACCACAAGGTATCTTTCAATAGCTTGCACCAGAGCCAGAGGATCGATCTTGACAGGTCCGCCTTTCCACTGTTTCACATTTGCACATTCTGGGTGTCTTTGTAATTGACATTTTAACTGATGTGTGTTGAAAAACTTTAAAGCTTGTGATCCTCTGTTGAGAGAAAAGCTCAAGATAATTTGAGAAAAAAAGGTTATTCTATTATTTTCAGTCAACATATATTAGTTAAACTAAAAACAGACACACAAAAATACTTTTTTATAGTACAAAGCATTTAGCATGGAATGAACATGATCTCTAGCCACCATGAATTCATATGATCAATGATGTCATAAATACTGGCTTCAATGAAATGCCATGCCTATTGGATTATTCAGGTGGAATAAGAACACTTCAACTATCTGAACACACTTCTACAGGAATTTGTCCTCTACTAAATTCTATTCAAAAAGCAAGGGAGGAAGAATCCTCTGTTCTTTTGCTTCTACTTTCAATTTCACTTATAAAAATAAAACATGAAATAACATAAAAATAAAAAAAACCAACCTTCAAATTTACATTGCTATGTACTTTTAAATGAACGGCTACATCATTTGATAACTATTTTCTTCCTGTTATAAGTTCTGACAAGAGTCAAATATAGTCAACCTTAAATGTGGCTAATTATACGACTATGAAGCATGCAAATATTAAGCGAGCATAGTTCATATAAACGCAGACAAGTGGAAAGCCTCATGGCTTTTTTATTCTGGTCTATGTTTGAGACTCAAATAGCCCACGTTAGTTCTAAATTCTAAGATGCTTTTCTGCCTACACTTTGTGGTTATTCATTTAAAAGGATGTAGCAAAGTAAAGTGAAGGTTAGTTTTAAATTTTGTATTTTATTTATAAGAGAAATCTAAAGGAAAAAATATAGGATTCTACCCTCTTTATTTTTTGGTTGGGATCACAGGTATGCCACCATATTTTGTGATATCCCTTTGTTTCACAAAACTATTCCAAGATAGTATAGTGCTATAGCACATTATACAGAAAACAACTTAAGCCGCACTATGGAGAGCATTATCTACATTGACTACAGATACTGTTTCGATTCAAATTTTTAAAAATGTTTTAAAACACATAAAAACATGGATTTTAAAATAAAAATAACTTTTTCAATGAAGCTTACAGAACTGCCTAACAATTTTATCTTTCTATAACAACTTACATAGTAAAACCCATTATAGTTATATAGTTATAACCACTTATCACATAAAGTCTCAGAATAAATGTTTTGTTGCCCACATACAAAAAAATTATTTGAGACTGGGCAGTGGCAGCACATGCTTTTAATTCCAGCACTAGAGAGACAGATAGGCAGGTATCTGTGAGTTTGAGGCCAGCCCTGTCTACAAAGTGAGTTCCAGGACAGCCAGAGCTGTTACACAGAAAAACCTCATCTAGAAAATCAAAATAAATGAAAAAAATAGTTGGAGAAGCATTACATATTAAAACTTATCAATGTAGAGAAACTAAAAATGTGTTTCAAATATTGTCAATCCAGTCACTGATTTACTTATGTTAGAAATATTAGTTGTCAAAATACACGGTGCGAGCTAAAAGTAGTGTCACACGCCTAATCCCAGCACTTGGGAGACAGAGACAGGTAGATCTCTGAATTTCAGTCTAGCCTGGTATATGAAGTTCTAGGACAGGCCAGACTACACAGCAAATTCCTGTCTTTAAAAAACAAAACAAAACAAAAACATGATCTTACCAAGAGCTTACCAAACCTCTCACCATGGTTTCCTTCAACAATTCTAGTAGAAAGTGGCCATGCCCAGGCAATGGTCCTTACCTGCCTCCAGCCCCATTTCCACTAGGGAAATCGTGCACTTTGACTGGAAATTGCTCCATTTGGCTGAGGCAGTTGTTCATCTTATGAACTAGTGCCAACAAAGGCGCATGGCCCACTGGTTCTACTCTTCCAATGGGCTCTTCTCCAGGAAGCTAGAGTTACAAATAATCAAACATTAAACAAACCTTTTGAAAAGTCAACACTCCATAGCAAAGATATTTTTAAATAATTTACTTATATATGAATATTTTGCCTTTATGTATTCTTGGGTGTCACATGCATGCCTGCCTGGTGCCCTAGGAGTTCATAAAATCCTCGGAAACTGGAGTTACAGATGGTCATGAGCCACCATGTGGATGCTTGGAATTGAACCTGGGTTCTCTGGAAGAGCAGCCAGTGTTCTTAAGCACTGAGCCATCTCCCCAGCCCCTAGCAAAAACATTTTAATAAGAAGTTTTACAAATGGAGATTTATCTATCAATTTTCTTTCTTTTATAATAGATTTCATTAGGACAATGTTTCCAAGTAAGTTAGTTAGTTCTTTTTATTTTATTTTATGTGCACTGATTAGTGTTTTTCCTGTCTGTATGTACGTCTCTGTAAGGGCACTGGATCCCTGGAACTGGAGTTACAGACAGCAGTTCTAAGTTGCCATGTGGGTGCTGGGACTGAAACCTTTGGGAAGAGTGGCAGCGGTTTTAAGCACTGAGTCATCTCTTCAGCCCCATATACATAATCTTAAGCAAGATAGAAAACCCTTGGGATATCCACACTTGCACCCACATACATGTGAAAATAAGATTTAAAATTAGTATCTACCAATACCACTTCTGACTTTAGACAGTGTTCCAAAATGCCTATGAACACTTAAAAGGGGCATGGTTAAGCAAATAAACAGTAATCATTAAGCTCATCATAACCCCCCCCCCCCCAAAAGGCCACTTCCTGAGTTATGACTCTAAAGCAGTTGTAACAGGAGGTCTAATCAAGACTATGTGAGAGTTGTTAGCTCTGTTCTCACCTAAGGGCAAAGAGAAAAGGTGGGAACCAGCCTACAGACCCAGACCCTGTCCTTGTAACCTATAAAGATTGTTGTTAAGCATCTTTTATGGAAAAAACAATAACCTCAACAAATAGTAATAAATATTAAAATGTAAAACTACTACTAATGATTTACCTTGTGGGAGGGAGGGGAGAAAAATACTTGACAAAGTTGATGTGGGCTTCAGGTCACTAGTGGTTGGAAGAATGGCTTTTTGTTTTATTTTTCTACCCAAACTGGTCTAAAACTCACATAACTGAGGATGATCTGTACTGCCTTGCCCTCCAAGTGTTGGGATCTCAATCATAGGCTTCATGTCTGGTTGCATTTTACTATCTATTTTATGACACATAAAAATTTAAGGAAGTCAGGCATGGTAACTCATACCTTTAACACCAGCACCAGGGAGGCAAAGGCAATCAGATCTCTGAATTCTAGGCCAGGCTCATCTATAATAAAACCTTGTCAATAAATACATGTCAAAGGAATCTAACTGAATAGGCAACACACAACATACTCTTATTGGGACACAAATGTACGCACTTGCTAGCACCGATTCTATTAAGATGTGACCGTTATTAACTTACTGGAGAAGAAAAAAATACATGTAGGAATCGCTTTAATCGGATCTCTCGGCTGACAGCATCCTTTTCACTTTTAGATGTCAAGTAGAACAACAGTTGTTTCACAAATCCACTATGTTGGATTTCAAATGATGAAACATCTGATTCGGAGACTATGCTACGGATTTCTACAAGGCACTCAGCTCCACCGTCCACCTGAAACAGTGAAGAGAATTCTATACTGATTTAAACAGTACAATTCACATTTCCCCAAAAGTTAATCAAAATATATTTACATGGGCCAGCTATGAACCATATGAGCTGTAATACAATCTTCCAGGTAAGATGAGCCCACTGGAGCAACGTGGCTCAAACATTACTTGGCAAATTCTTTCCTTAAGATTTGAAGCCCACTGCACATGAAGGAATTCATTTCAGTGGAGGTCAAAAGCCCTCCTGTTGTTTTGCTAAATGGCCAGAGTCAAAACATCTTATAAATAATCAGATTAGTGTTGGTCCCAGTCTTGGTCAGAGAACGTTGTTTGCAACAGACAATAATATTTAGTCATAACTGGTAAAAGTGCTGAGAAAAATTTTTTTTTAACCATTCATCCCAAAGCAGAACATCTATTATCAATCCTTACAAGGCTCAGGGAACACTACAGAAAAAGATTTCATGATGAAGAACAGGCATTCCATTTAACTAATGCATTTTCTAGGTAGAGATTAAAAAATAATATAATAATACAAACTCAAAATAAAGGGGCTAACAGAAAAAAATTGTGTCATTAAGTGAATGGATACTTGAGAACCAGAAGAGAGGGGGAACAGGAGAGGGTATTGGGAGGGAAATTTGAATACAATCAAAGTACATAATATACATGTATAAATGTCATAGTGAAGATCATAACTTTGTATAATTAATTAATAACTTTTTCAAATTAGAATAACGTTCATTTTGAAAGCAAGATTAAAACGATGAAATGTGATGTGGTTTTAGTTAGTAAACTTAAATATTTATAAAATAGCTTAGAAAACAAGAACGGAAATTAGAAAAGGTACATTTACAAAGTCAATGAAATGGTCATGGCATAGTCTCACGGCTTTCCAAGTAAATGCTATGAGTCTGCAGGTGGGGACAGGTATGTGGATTTAGAAAGGACATTCTTAAGAAACCATCTGAAATTTTGTCATTTGTCAAGAACTAGAGAGCACAAAGAATGAAAAGTAATGGCAAGTCAAGGGACACGGAGCAAAAGAAACCAATGTTTCTACAAATCCCAAGAAATCATCCACCGGCAAACAAAATGCACTGCACAGTACCTGGAGGTTGAGTTGTTCAGTTGCAGCACAAAGTCTCTGAAGTACATTCAAGGCAGGGTTGCTTCCATCCATATTCTCTGAACTAAAGTAACGCTCAACAAATTTATGCGCCTGCTCCTTAATCCAACCTTTAATTTTTTCTCTACAAGGAGGTAAAAGGAGATATTAATGTTTCCATGTAGGTAAAAAAAAATCTAAACTGAAAGTCAGATTAGGGACCTGTAAGATGTGAGTTCAATACCCAGGACGGTGGAGAAAACCAACTTCTGCAAGTTGTTTACTGACTTCTACAAGTACTTAGTTAGATACACACACATATATATATAGACATAAAGGAAATAAAATTACAGCTTTTATTAAAAACAACTAACAGCTCACTTAAAACACTTACTGGCCTATGATCATTACTGTAATTCAGATTAAGCAAATATAGGTTCATTCTGAAAACAAGCTAAGATGTATCTGTAGAATTGCTTAGGTATGTAGAATATATTTCAAGGCATCGCATGAACAGTAACAAGATGTTCAAATTTTCTAAGTGTTCATACCCGAATACAAATTTACAAAATAATTGACAAAAGGAAAAAATATATCTACACTGTTCATCACTGTTCCCTAAAGAGGTGAGGTGAAGATAAGGTATACCAGACGGATGTGATCAGGCTGTTGAAATTATAAACTTTAAAAATACATTTGCTTATTATTCTTCATAACTAATTTAGAGAATCAGCAGCCAACTCAATCAAATTAAAAGTTATCTTTAAAATAAAGTATTACTGGGAAAATGTCTTATTTATAGAGGAAGTAGTCTACACAGGTACTCTACATCAAGTGCCTTCCCAAGAAAGGCATTGCCATATGACCCACACGCTGGAAAGAAATTAGTATCTGACATGGAGTCAAGTACGTTTTTAAAAAAGCAGCTGCTCTCCCTTACAAATCTTCAAATTCCATTAAGTAGGTAGAAAAATTTCATTAAAATGTATAAACAGAAAATGCAAGCATAATTCAATAAAAGGTTTCACATAGAAGAAAACTATCCAGAGCTGTCAAGTAGATATATTATATATATTTTTATATGCAGGGGATAGGGCTGAAACCATAGGCAAGTCCTGAGCTACATACATACATCCTCATAAGAATCTACCTAATCTGAGTTGAGAATAAATTGAACCAAGTCCATGTATCATCTCCATGTAATGAAGGTGCTCAATACAATCATACTGAGACCTTTCAGATGAAGAACTCCCACCCCCAATCCCAGCACAACTTTACCTATTATTGGATATGGTGTCTTTTGAGGCTGCCCTGGAAAGACCACTAACTCCTGCAGTTCGTGCTGGCTCAATGTTGTTGCTGTTGGACTGTGCACTTAATCTTCCCCACGTTTTTGGATTCAAGCTTGCCAGGAAGGAAGATTTGGGTGACTGAGTAGTGGTAGGGCTTTTAGCTATAAAGAGAAAAGAATTACATTCAAATTATTTCAACAAAACTGAGAAAAAAATCAACAAAACATTCACAGACATAATATAGGAATTAAGAGCACCAAATCATGAGCAAACTTATCACCTTCTCCTCCATTTACCTATTAGTTCAATAAAGGACTCACCTTGATTGTCTACTTTGTCATCATCTCTTGGAGGTGAATACTTTGGCCTTCTTGGCCCTCGTTTTGGCAGTCGTTTTCTCTTGAGAACATCACTTAATCGACTGTTGTACAGAAAAACAATGGATGAGGTTAGCAATTACCACGGAAGAACCCAGCTAAGATACTAGAGGCAGTGACACAAATAAAAATGTCACAACAATTTTCGTTGAGTGATTTTAATATGGAATCTGCAACAGTCATACTCGAAAGGATGTATGGAGACAGAAAATTGCTGCTAAAAAATAAAAACCAAAGGCTTAATTTTCTTCATATGCAATTTTGTAAAATGTAATGTATTTAAATAAAAATACAAAGAATGATTGACAAAAAAATAAAACCAAACGAGTATATTTCTTCCCTAACCTAACTTGAAACACATGGGGCTTAATGTTCATACTAACTACTTACAGTATTATATCCAAAAGGCATAACGAAGGCAATAACAACATAATGATTTCCATAACTGTTTTTAAACTATATAAGTCTATTAAGTGATAATGTGAACAACCTATTCGGACCTAGAACCAATATTAATTGAATTGTCTACAGCATTTCTTTTATCACGTTTTGTTTGATTGTTGAGACAGCATTTCCACATTACCTTAGGTTGGACCTCAAATCCATGATTCTCTTCCCTCACCCTTTGGCTCTGAGAGTAGGGAGGGCTTCACTTCATCTGCCCAAAGACTTTATTCTAAACAACACTACAAATACACTACACCACACCTTGCAACCTCCTGCTCTTGACATTAAAAATTATTTCTGAAATTATTTAAAAACAAAAATACAAAAGAATGAGCAGATAAATGAACATTCTAGGGGACAGCAAAATAGCTAAATAAGTAAAGGACTTGCCGTCAAGCCAGACAACCTGAATATGATAGAACAAATGAACCAACTGGTGCAAACTGTCCTCTGACTTCCAACACTGGCACCAGGGAACACAAACACAAATAAATATGCTTTTAAAAATTAAGCAAATTGTTCCAGCTGTGTTGCTCTATAGCTCAAATAACATTTAAATAATTTAAATGAAGACTCCCAGAGTCTGGTAATTCTATGAAATAGGTATACTTAATATATTCAAATACACAACCAAGAAAAATAAATTTTCAGGAAGAAATAGGCTATAACAACTTGTAAATGAAAAATGAACATTTTACTTGGAGGGCTGAAGACATGGTTCAACAGTTAAAAGCATCTGTTTCTCTCTAGGAATTAGGGTCTGTTTCCAGCACCTACATGGAGGATCACAACCTTATTTCTGGGCATCTGATGCTCTCTTTTAGCCTCTGAAGGTACCTACACATTTATAGTGCTCAAACATATACTAAGGTGCACATACATAACAAAAACAATGAGGACTGCCTGTAAGGCCTGTTCTACACAGTGAGTTCTTGATGAGAGAGTCAGTGCTACATACCAAGATTTAAAAACTTGGAACAAGGAACAAATTAAGATAAAATATTTTAAAAGAAAGGCTTTCTTTGGAATAATAAACTATTAGATTACATAATAAACAACTACTTCCTTATTGAAACTGGCTTAGAAATATTATATTATTATCAAACTATTATAAGCAGTTGTTAATTAATATAATATTAGGAGATTATTTTAGTTCCAGGACACAAACCCTATCTCCATCACCCCCATGCAAAAGAAAGATTACATCTGTCTGCGTTATCTCACAGAATTCTGTGATGGAGCAATTAAAGATATCTCAGGCATCAAGTAAACATTTTATAGTAAAGCCCTGTATTAATATACGGTTACTGAAAGACCACAGTATAGAAGAAGTGCTGAGGTGGAGGAACAATAAGGTAGAAGGGTAAATGGGAGAAAAGCACAACAGCATCACAGATAGGAAGGTAGAAAGTCCAACAGGCTCAAAGCCTAATTTTCACAAACTTGCCCAATTAACAAAGAAAAGCATAAACTCACCCCCTTTCCTGGATTAGCAAACAGTCCCAACTAGAATTTTTACTTAAGCTAAAGTACGTAACTGCCACAAGGTGGCAGCAAAATAACTTCCTTCAAGCATCTGACCCCCAGCCATCTAGCCAGATGTACAAGACAGGTTCTTTAAGATTTAAATTTAAAATCCCAGTGAGAATATTTTACCAGATATATATTACAGGAGCTAGCTCTGATTTCCTAGCAGCCACATGAGTTCAATTCCCAGCACCTACAAGGCAACTCACTACCATCTTGTAAGTCTAGTCCCAGAAGGTTGGGTGGTGTCTTCTTTTGGCCTGCAAGGGAACTGCATGAACATGACACAGAACCATCCATGTAGGCAAAAACACCCCTAAATATGTTAATAAAAATGATAAAAGTTTTCGTGAAAAAATTTTAAGATGTATTTTATAGCAAAAAGAAAAACACTTATTGATTATGCTGCGTACAATTTAAATTTCAGAACTGAATGTGGCTTTATCATATACAATTCATGGCAATATTCCAATTTCCAAAATAAAATAAGACCTCTTAAATGTATGATCTTCTAATGCAACAATTTAAAAAATATAAAAGTTTCCCAATATCCTACCATAGTACAGCAGAACAAGCATAAATGAGTTTAAGAACTACCATTTATTTACCTTTAAGATATAACCATGTGCTTGGGAATTAAAGCTAAATGAGAAGTCAGGTTTGGCTACCTTGCCTACAGTCTCTAATTTTATATTTTTCACTGCATCAACACTTTATATCACAAAGGAAGATCTGCAGTAATACAAAGTAATTACAAAATTATGGAATCAGGGAGCCAGGTGGTGGTGGTGCATGCCTTTAATCCTAGCACTCAGGAGGCAGAGGCAGGCGGATCTCTGTGAGTTCGAGGCCAGCCTGGTCTACAAGAGCTAATTCCAGGACAGGAACCAAAAGCTACGGAGAGAGAAACCCTGTCTTGAAAATCCAAAATAAATAAATAAATAAACAAACAAACAAATAAAAAAAACATGGAATCAGAAACAAAGGTTAAAATACTCTGTGATATGTGTAAACAAACCTATTATGTCTGTACTTCATTTCAATTTGTGTACCAATGTGAATTAAATGCTCATATCTCATGTAACTACAAAACAGGGACCAGTAAAGTAGCTTCCCTAAAGTTATTTTCTTTCCACTCCAAAGGGCAGAAGAGCTGAGGAAATACTTCTGTGGTAGAGGTTAATTGCTGAGGCTACAGAATCAATTCACACTACCACAAAAAAGTCCACTCTCAGGTATTTTATTCTCAAGTAAGAGTCTAGGACATCAATGCAGATAAAGGCAAAGTACTTTAAAAATTCACAACAAAACTCACCCTTGAGGGCTCAGGTCCAGTGAATCATCTCTGCTATGCTGCAAGCTGGGTGACCCAAGATCAGCAGAAGCATTGGTTGCAGCCGTGGCTGTCCCACTGCTGGCTGGTGTTGTGGACCCCAGGGATCCTGAACCATTTGTACACGCCTTTGGTGGACTTGTCAACAAAGACTCAGATTCTGCTAAATGCTTTACTTGATGCATGACACCTTCAAACACAACAAAAAGAGAGGTCAGTTTAATCAGGAGTTAAGAATAACCCCCACCACTATGAAATCCCTAAATGTTAAGCCTAATAAGCTAGAAATAAAGCCAGGAAAAGAAGTTTCCATATCAACTCCAATCAAAAAGAGTAAAATTCAGGGGCTGGAGAGATAGCTCAGAGGTTCAGAGGCTCCTCTTCCAGAGGTCCCGGGTTCAATTTCTAGGTCATACATGGTAGCTCACAACCATCTAATAATGAGATCTGGTACCCTCTTCTGGCATGCAGGCATGTATGTAGAAAGAACACTATTTACTTATATAATAAATAAATCTTTTAAAAATAAATAAAATGCAAAGGTATTTTTATTGAATGATTTCTAATCTTCAAACCAAAAATCATATAAAACAGTTATACAAAAAGTAGAAAATAACCACTTTATAAACAATAGTAAATCTAAGAAACACAGCACACATCACAGTATGATAACCGCAAAGGGAAGAGACATAAGTAGTCAATTAGCTTCAAAGGTTATGAGGGAAACACTGTAAAAATACTGCTATCTATAAAAGGGCTACTGGTGGCCACACTGTCAGAGAAAGGAGAACTGAAGAGTTCCTATTGTGATAGGAGATACACAGTCACAGATATCTAAGAAAGCCTGTGTCAAATATATGAAATTCTGTGGGTGAAATTATATATGATTGCACAGACATTTTTTCAGGGGTCCTAATCTTTCATTAGATTCTTGTTGCTTTATGCTGTTTAGGGTTTTTTGTTTGCTGTTGTTTGTTGGGATCTTAGAATTTTCTATATAGACCAGGCTGGCCTCAAACTAACAGATATTCACCCATCTCTGTCTCCCGAGGACTGGGATTATAGATGGGCACTACCATACCTGGCTTCCTTTAGATTCTTTAAGAAAAGAAGGGGGGAGGGGCGGATGATTTATACTTTAGGCACTTGTTATAAAAATATGTTTTAGGTAGATACTGAGTACATGGTTATCAGGCAGGACAAAAGCAAAAATGACTAGGAATGATACATTTCTTAAGGATGCCAGTAAGTAATGATGAACTCATAAAACAATACAGCAAGCTAGTGTACACTGCAGAAGAACCAAGCTCAATCTGGAAGGAAAATAAGACCTTCAGGAAGAGGCTAATGTTTATTCTGGTGTTTTATGAGTAGCATGACCTAGCCATGCACAATTAACACCATTATGTATGCACCACAAATATTTGAAGTTAGAAAACAGAATACGATGGTACAGCAGATTCTCTAAGCTTAGCAAAAAATACTTGGCATGGGATAGAGATGAAGTGGGCAAGTGGATCTCATTTACTTCTAAACCAAAAAATTAGATGTGTACCCGCACACCTACCTCACTTGTTACAGACAGGTAATGGAAAAACAATGCTTTGTCTTTAACATCTTTAGCATCAACACCTACTGCTGTTTTTGTTCTGTTTTTTGTTTGTTTTCTTTTTCTTTTTGAGTATTTTGTTAGTTGAACAAAGCTAGTTACTTGGAGATGATGGTGTCGCACTATGTTAGCTCTTGGGTTGGAAGTCAAGAGATCGTACCCCTCTTTTGGATTTAAGGTATACACCACTTTACAAAGACAACTTTAAATCGTTAAATCTTCTTCCTCCTTTGTTCCTTTTTCTATATTGGCCTATTTATAATATTTTAAAACACGGAAAAGATTAAAACCCCAATATAAGAAGTGTTGAGTCTAACGAGGCAAGCAGACCAGGCCTTCTTGCTCAGCCATCATTGGAAGCTTCCCCTAGCCTGGTGGTGGCACACACCTTTACCCGGCACCCAGGAGAGGGAGGCAGGCAGATTTCTGAGTCAGAAAGCCAGCCTGGTCTATAGAGTGAGTTCTAGGAGTCAGGGCTACACAGAGGAAACTCTGTCTCAAAACAAAACACAAAAAAACCAAACAACAAAAAACAAACAAACAAACAAAAGAACCCACCAACACCAACATTATCAACAACAAAAAGTTTCCTCCTGCAGCACATGGTAACAAAAAGACAGAAATCCACAGGCAGATAAAGGGACACTGGAACACTGAGCCTGGATGAAATGACTCCATCAAAATCTCCCCTCAGGACTTGAGGGACCATGAGAATGGTGATGGGGATAATTTAAAAGCCAGAGGGAATGGAGAACATAAGGGAATTAAGGCTCTCTAAACAATATATATAACTCAGAGACTGGGGCAGCAGGCACAGGTCAGCATGGGTCCGCACCACATGGAGTCACAGAGCTGAAGAAGTGGAAACAAGCTGCCACTCCTAACCCTCTAATTCAGAAGCTATCAACTGATAACCACCTGCAAATGAAAATTTGGTATTCTCCAAGGGAGTCTCACTCAGGAAATAAAACTAAGGATATGCTGCTGGTCCAGCAGTAGATGGTCAGCATAAATGAAGTTCCTCATCTCAATGTCACATCAAGGTTTTTCCTTTTACCCCTTTTACTCCTCCCCCTTTTTTTCCCCTATTTATTCTTGTTTTGTACATTTTTCTTGTCTCTCTTAACACTAGAGATCCTTTGAGTATATATTATGGCTTTCATTTCAGTGTTTTTATGGGATTATGGGATTCTTAAATTATGAACAGTGGGTCTCTACACATGTATCTGTTTCTTGTGACTTCTGTTGGGCTTGTTTCTACAGTTTGTTTTGTCTTCTGATGTATTAGTTTTTCTTCATCTAATTTCATTTTATTTAATTGTTATTCCTTAGAAACTTGTTTGCTTTCGAATGAGAGACAGAAAGAGCATGGATCCTGACCGGGAGCGGAGAGAAACTGGGAAGGGAAACAGTAATTAGGATATATTATGTGAGGGGGGAAAATCTATTTCCATTAAAGGGAAAACAGAAAAGGTAATCAAGAGCTGGAGAGATGGCTCAGTTGTTAACAGTACTAGCTGCTTTTGCAGAAGACCTGAGTTCAATTCTCAGCATCCATATGACAGCCCACAACTATCTGTTAAATCCAGTTACAGAGAATCTGATCATGTACACTCTCAACCCAATAAAAGATAAAGTAAATGCTGAACTGTTTTGCTCTACTGCTATGATGCGCTGCAACCTTATTCATGGAATTACTATAGACTGCTGACATAAAAGTCTGACTGCTGCCAAACTTGAGCACATATTGGGGGTAGGAAGATCACTGAGAATGACTACAGTCATCAGTGATAGTCAATTTCAAGCTTCATGTACTTAGCACAATAAACATATTACACATGAAACACTCTATGCTTGAGTTCTTAAACACATAATCTTTCATATGAACAACTAATACTTTTCTTGTAGACACTGAACACATCACATCAAGCTCTAGACTCATCAACTTATTATCAAAAATGGCAATGAAATTAAAGGTGGTGGTGGCGCATGTCTTTAATTCCAGCACTCAGGAGGCAAAAGTAGGCAGATCTCTGAGTTAAAGGCCACCTGGTCTACAGACCAAGTTCCAGGGCTTCCAGGACTACATAGCGGGGGGAAAAAAAAGGGGGGGGGGTGGAGGGAGAAAAGCATTACCTTCTCTTCTGAAGTAAACACTGAAAATATCAGGTAACTTTTGCATTAAGATTTCTGCCATCTGAAGTGCTCCAACTACTATCTTCAGATCTTGACTTGATAGCATGGAAGCAATGTGACTAAAAATAAAACATTTGTGTATGAGCAATGTGAAGTTGGTCTCTGTTTCTGGTCATACTACTTAAAATTTAAGAACAAAATTCCATTCTATTATAACAATTATAATTTTTATTAAATTCAGTTAGATTTTAAATTATATTAAAATAAAATTCAAGACGTTCCAAACAAACTTTACTTCATTTTTTTTCTGTACCATGATTTGGAAATTTTTAAAATTACTTCAGATTTGAATTTTTAAAACATTTTTAGCATTTTCATGAACACACCTTGAAACAGCATGATTTTTCAGAACATCCTTCAGAAGTTCAGCATCAGCAAAATAAATTATCCTAAGAATTGCTCTAAGGCACTTATGTCTGACTGCAGGTCCTGCTGAGGAGCTATACACTTCATAGAGAACACCAAATAAAGTCTTAATGAAAGACTTAGCCAGTTCCGGATCTTCTTTCATTAGCTGTGCTCGAGCATCATCCTTCTTTAACTCTGAATATCCACCTGATGTTTAAAAAAAAAAAAAAAAAAAGTCAATTCCTGAAGTGGCTGACTACTATAGAAACACAGCAAAAACCAAGTATTCAGCCAAGCAACTCTGTGAAATACTAGGGCAGCCTTTCTCATTATAGAACAAACTGACTTTTCTGAGCATTAGGAGACTACTGGACTGACTATTCTGACCAGTAAAGTATCACTGTACTAAGTATGCTTCTTTGTACTAAAACATAGTCTAAGAAGGACTAGGAAAATTTCAATACTAACCTACTAAAATACAGGTTGAAATAAATACAGGACAGTATATAGTAACAAAGTTATTATGCAGATAAAAGTTATCAAAAAAACTGGAAAACAAGGTGACTCTGCTATTTTGTTCACAAAGAATATGTATAAAGGAGAATGAAACTGATGAAGACTATGAACAAGAGTTTGGCCAATTATGGTTACACATCTTGCCCTTTGCCTATAAAGTACATTTGTTTATGTCTTATAATATGATAGCTTTGAGACTACGATAGTATTAAAAGAGGCAAAGACTATATAACCTCTGAAGTTTCCAACATTTACTACCCAGACCTTTTCTGATGGAGTGTTGTAGGGTCAGATCAAGTGAACCTGCATTCTAACCCGCACCCCATCACTTAAAAAAAAAAATTGTGGAAAAGACATAGCACATGTAGCAATACTGACTTATTCATAATAACTGAGGCATGGGCTTTAATTAAATATATCACCATTATTCAACAATCTTACCTCCCTCCAAGGATACTCAATGAAACCATAACTATGCAAAAAGAAAATATTACGCCTGGAGTCTTAGACTTCAGGAAAGAGGGAGGGAGGGAGGGAGGAAGGGAGGGAGGGAAAAAAAAATTACAGGTTCCAGTAAGAAGGTAAAGGTGCTTATAAGGCCAAAGACTAGAACCTACATGGCAGAAGAGAAATAGCTCCTTCGAGTTACTCTCTGTTTTCCACATACATGTTATTGTATGCCCACATAACATACTCAAAATCAATGTGAAATAAATAAATCTCAACAGTGCACCTCTACTTAACTCAAAAGGATACTTACTAGTGTTAGTATTGGCTAAGGGGTTAGGTTTTCTCTGAATGGCACGTGCTGTTCCCGTGTCCTCATTGATTTGCTGCATAGAATTAAAATCAATAGTATAAACTCGTCCCAGAGTGGACAAGCTTATCTCATCCTCACCGACCTGATGGGCTGCCTGAGAGCAAAGAGAGAGAAACCTTGAATATAAACATGTAGAAATTCATTAACTTAAGCACAGCAGGGACCCGCTACACATGCTACTTTACATATCTATTTTATGTGGCTAGTAAACTGACAGAAAGTGGAAATTTTAGTACTGCTAACAAAACGCATTGGTTTACCAAATCATTTTAAATTAAACCAAACCATGAGTTCTGAGGCATAAGTCAGATAAAATGAAATACCAAGTGACATAGCATAATTGACATGAAGACACCATTTGTATTTCAAAAGAAATTGTACTGTGAAGTAGCTTTTACATATGTACTTACAACTCTTAATGGTAAGACAGAAAACATTTTTTACCTAATCAGTTTCTACTAACCTAAAATGTTCCTTTAAGCCAAATACCTTGTAAAATTGTCTTTCAGTAAATAAAATACCTTACATTTACATGCTGTTCTAAGACTGTAAGGAGCACAACTAAAACTTAAGATTAATAATCACGATGCAAACACTACACAGAAGAGACTATTATTTAACTTCAGGCACACTAGAGAAGATGCAAAATATGCTACATATGGCAGTTGTGCACATGGAATCCCAGCACTCAGGAGGTTTCCAGGGTCAAAGACAGCTTAGACTAAATAGTAATAACCTATCACTTTAAAAATGAATAAACAAACTACTCTTAATACAAAGATCAGTCTGAGCTGAGACTCCTAGACAGACTTGAGTAACTATCTGGAAATAGAGAATAAACTAACAATGAAGATGTGATTATCAGGAGTATGCTAAAAAGAAAAGCACTTAAAGTTAGAAATTAAGAACACTAGCAGTTGTAATATAAAGGACCAGTCAACAATTAACTCATAAAAGCACAAGTTGGTTCTGAATTCTGAGTTCTTTTATAAGGACTCCAGACTTTAGAAACTGATTGGAGGAACATATCTGGAAACTACAGCTTTATAAGAGGTATAAAGATGGTTGCAATTCAAAAGCTGTATTAAATTTAGAAGAATTATGTTTAAGTATGAAAAATGCTACAAAAAATGTATAGCCTCTTGAGTGCTGAAAACACTTTTCTACCTCAAGTCTTTTTGTCATCTGAGAAATTTAAGATTATTCCAGGGAAAGCAAACATCAGATGAACATAAATCACACAGAAACTGTCATTAACGTTTTAGTATATTCCTACAACATATTATTCATTTTCTTTTCTTATACGAAGTAACAAAAAGTTCCATCATTTTGAGCACTGCTTTCACATTTATGTCATTAAATCTATTGCACAAATACTGAATTACATACTAGTCTATTTATCACAGTTTTCATGTTCACCCTGAGGCAGGTATTTAACTTGTTTTCCCGTTTTTCCCCATTACGTATAAAAAGCACACACTGGGAGATTTCTTCTGGGTTGAAATAATAGACCTGCTCTGAGACATAGTCTAACCCTCCAGTGTTTCCTTTTGGAAACAAAACTATGGGATAAAGAACTTAGATTACTTGCTCCAAGCCAAGCAGGTAGTTAGCAGCAGAAGCAGGACTAGAACATCATGTTTTCTGACCTCAACAGAATGAGGACCTTCTTTCTCAGGAGACAAAATGAGAGAATCTTAAGTTAATTCAAAACTGAGCACACTAAACACACAACCACCTCCCCATTCATCCCTATTCCATCCCTACACCCACTGTCCACAAAAATAGGCATATTTAAATGGTACAATGAAACTACTACCTCAATGATCCGGCTGTCAATCCTGTTATAGGGATGCCAGAGGCCTCGGTCATCCCGCCACTGCCAAATTGCACCATCTGTATTCTGCGCATTTCCCTTCTTTAGCATTGTATCAACTGCAAAAATGCCTTCTTTTGGTAAACATGGCATAAGTTCACTGGAAATAAAAGGTGTAATTATTTTAATAAGCAACTTTCTGTGCCAACGATAGGTGTTAAGACTCTCAAGGAAAATAACCCCATTTTTACCAAATCAGAGAGGTCAGTTCATACAGTTCTTGAGGACTTCGTGGAACAAGATCAATCTGCTCCTGACAACTTCCATTGGAGGCACCACACAGAAGGAAGTGAAGTGTTTCTGCAATGTCTGTTAAGCCAACAACACATAACATAAGCCTATTAAACTAGATGTAGTAATTTATTTAAAAGACAATCATTCCCTAGAGTAGAGCAAAAATTAAAATTATTTACTCACAGAGGATCTGAATATGGAAACTGCAAAAATATAAACCAATTATGTGTGTAAAAAGAACAGCAGAAGAAAGTTTGTGGCTTTTAACCATGTCTTTCTGTGGACTTCCATCCTGAGTACATATCCTTCAGCTTACCCAAAATACCACCATATTGGATCCTTTTGCTACTGTAAGGAGCACAACACTTTCTATCAACAGGCTGTCACTCAGATATACTCATACTTACCACCTTCCTTTTAAATATACTGGAAGCACCTGGAGCTTACGTTCCCTGCCTCACATTAGACTGACATGTTAACTCAGTACAAACATCATTAAACTGCATCAGTATTTGGAGAATCTATGATAATCACTCAAGTGCACAGGTTTAGTCTAACAGCTAAAACCTAAGAAAAGTTATGTCTTTGTTAGTTGTACTATGTTTCTAAAAATATTGTCTACATGTAAATATGCATAAATACAGCTGTGACTTTTATTAATCTTGAAAAGGTATAGTTTTGCCAACTTTTTCGAGTAATATTAGTACACTGTGTAGGGTTTTACAAGGATGCTTTAATGGGCATGAGGACGGAATTCAAAGACAGACCGCTTCCTAGACCTACAGGATGCTTTAATCCTCATTCTACAGAACCACAAAAGGACCTTGAAATTGTGCTATATATTTTTTTATAAAGATATCAGATAAGTGATCAGAAAAGTAGTTAAGATAACCCCTTGAAAAAGAGGTAAACGTGCCCACAATTACTTTTTATCACTATAGAAGGAAACGGTCTAATGTGGTCCATGAGATAAAGGAAATGTCACAATATGACATCAAAGGAAAAGTATCCAGTGTGTTCAAAGAAAGCACTTCCCAAGCTGGTATTTAAAGCTGGACTACTGTCCCTCACAGTAACTAGTGAGAAGCTGTTCTCTAACTCCTCAAAGAGGTCCTAGAGACTTCAGAATAAGTTACAAAGCTACTTGTGAAGAAGTTAAACTTTTCTCCATTTCACTGACGTTGGGAGCACTGTGGAAACAAATCACAGGGGAAACAATAATCTGTCCAACTATCCACCTCAATCACACTGTCTTTTTGTCAAGGTCTATCGTCAATGCATTAGTTCACAAGAAATGCAATGAAAAGTGAAACAAGGTTTATCCAAGACAAAATATTATACAGTCTGAAACGATAAGGCCAAAAGCTGTATTTTAAGTAAAAGGCAAAACTGACCCTCAAGATCGAACCTTGAAATTTAAAATTCCAAGTATAAAATTATTAACCGTGATTGGAGTTGTTCCAATAGTTAACACTATAACAAAGAATCAAGATACAGATTTTTTTCTGAAACCATACCACGTTCTGACATTTACTTATGAGACAAGGCCTAAGAAAGAGGGATCAATTTGTCACTGGTTAAGAAACACAAAATTAGTTAACTTTGTAAAAACTGGAGATACTGATCAGTAAAAATAAGGTCCAGCTTTCTGAGAGAAGAAAGCACTCTACACTCAGATAATTAACTGGAAATATCAAACAAGGGCTGAGAGAATTGAGTTATTGTTAAAAGTAATATAAAAGTTAGAAAACTAAAACTAGATCATTAGTAATTAGTGTAATATGAACAACAATGATCTTGAGTCATTCCCAAAGGTGAGTTTTAAGAATATAACATTAAAATCTCATGATCAAGCCAAGTGTACCAGCATACACTTTTTAATCTCAGCACCAGAGAGGCAGGAGGGATCTAGAAGTTTAAGGCCAGTCCAGTCTACATAGCAAGTTCTAGGTTAACCAGGGCTACATAGAAAAACCCTCTCTCAAAAAAACAAGAAAAGATCTTTAGCACTACTGGATATCAAACACCCAGACTTCGTATAAGTCAGGTAAGCCTCTATCACTGAGCTTACTTTCCTATCCCACCATTTTTCTTCTTCAATAGCCAATGTTATTTATGGTTTCTTACTTTTGTGACTTAGGTTGACTTGTTAATGAAGAAAGAGACACTTTTATGGCTTAAAATACCAATAATAAAACAGCACTTACTTTGTTTCATAAGCTGAACAGCTAGTGTTGGGCAGTTGGAACACATCAGAGAAAACATGCGAACCACCATTATAAACATCCCAGAACTTAAAACTGGTGGAGTCACTACCAACAGTTGTTGAACATTTGTTAGCAGATCTTTGGAAGCAACCTGCTGCAGTAAATTCTTCATGAACACAAGAAGAGAAATTATTATGCTGTCATTTAGCAATTCTACAATTTAAAAATATATACTACCAAGATGATACTGACCTCCTCGTGTTGAAAGTTGTCCACTAGGCGTGCAAAACAAAGGCAAGTGCTTTCTACTGACTTTTTGTCCTATTTTTCACAAAGGAAAATAAAGTTTATTAATATAAAATGTTAGCACCACCAATCACTTAGTTCTTTCTTTGCCCCAAATCTAGGTAACTCTTTATCAGATATAAGCTTTGAAAAGAAAAACCCAGAGAAAGTGTAGTTGGTAATATTAAAAAAGTATGTGCAAACATTTGTATTGAGACTTGAAGATTCAGGAATTTGTAACCATCAGCAGATCCAATCCCCTAAGCACTAAGGAATGAAGTTACTGATAACCATTGGCTTTTTCACTATAGAAATAATCTAAAACAATTTGGCTATTAGAAAAACTTTATATTGCTATAAAAATAAAGCAATTTTTGGAGAAAATATCTGTAATACTCATAACAAAAAAACCCAACATTTTCTTTACTTCAACTAGGCTTCCTTCTGTAAAAACAGGAATCAAAAAAGTTGCAAAAGCCCAAATCTTTCCCGTTACTCCATTCCCAAGAAAGAAAGCTAGAAAGTAGTAGCCGACTTAATTTAAGATTTCTGATTCTTAGTTCTCATTTATGAAGGATGTTAGGTAGTATTGATTTTCACAATTAATTACAGAACATATTTTAAATTATTGTGGTTTCAACTATGCTTTTAAGAATAAACAAATTAAGCCAGGCATGGTAGTACACAGCTTAATCAAAACATTTGGGGTGGGGGAAGCAGAGGCAACTGATCTCTGTGAGTTCTATGCTAGCAAGGGATATATAGTAAGATCATATCCCAAAGATAAATAAATAAGAAGCAAGCTGTCTAGGCATGTATGATAATAGGCTTGAAAGGATTCAAGTTCGGAGCTAGCCTACACTGTACTATAAACTGTCCCTTGTCCTCTATAGAAAAGAAAAAAAAACTTAATGTCTCTGATCTATCATTATCATTATAGAAATGCAGGCGACAAATAAGCCATCATCTTGTGTAATCCCTTAAGCATATTCTGTACATCTAATTGTCACAGGTTTCAAATAATCTGTGAAAGTAGATTTTTAAGAAATTCAAAGTAGATTTCTTAAAAAGTGTCTCCAGTAACAATAGCATTTGTAAAATATGGGTACAAGAAAACACAGTTTCTCCCTGACCTCCAGATGTAGCAACTCAATTCCCCCCATTCAAATCTGGTATGAATACTGCTGTTCAAACTCTATCTCTGATATTTTACCTTTTACATACCTATTCTGCTCTCCTCCAATCCCAACAGGTAGAATCTATACTTTCCATTTCTATTTCGGGACAACCCTTTTCTCTCTTCCAGTCTTGACCCATGCTCCCAATGCCTTTTAGGGGGATCTTTCTAAAAGTAAATTCTTATCTCACAAAGGAAAATCTTAATTGATACAATAACAAAGTCATCAGTTAATACCAATATAAAGATACTGAACCTATAAATTGCTTATCATTTGGGTAAATCTGCCAAAATCTTATAAAAAAATAATCTAATATGTTACTAGATAATACATTTAAAAAGAAACATGGATCAGAACACTTAGAGTTATACACATCCAATTAGAAAATTGTAAACAGAATTTTGGGGAAAAAAAAACAAACTTTCACGACATAGGAAACAAGATTCATACTTTACCTGATGAGTTAGCCTTTGGGTAAGTAATGGTAGGGAATCTGCCACAAAATGAAATTCATCAGGTGTGATACTCTGGCAGCAATTGGCTGCAATTGCTAGTGCATTTCTTTGGGCATTTATGCTGAAGAATTCTAGATACAGCAAGCAGTCTGCCAAGCCACCCTAAAATACAGAAAATTGTTAAAGTGAAAGAAAAATATCCTTTGACAAAAAGAACTATTATAAATGTCTAGAACATCACATAGTGTAAAATATGTGCATCTTATGGAGCTACAATCAAGGAACTAGCACAATGCAGTTCTGAAATATCATCAAAGGAAATATAGTCTTTTAGCAACAACACTTACCGCCTGTAAAATAGCTTTACTATGTCGCCGTGACAGCATCTCCAAGGCAGTTAAGGCCTGCTCTGCCACATCAATACACTGAATAACTTGCAGCTAGGAACATTGAAGTAGGTACAAAGGTTATTATTTATTTTTCAACAGTACTTTATCTGCACAAACACTGTATTCATCTGTTTGTAGCCACTTACACTACTTCCAACATGAAACCAAACTAGAAAAACTCACCCTTGGGTAAAACTTATAAAGCTTTTACTTTCCTCCCAACAACTTACTTGGCTTTAGGATACTGTAAAATATTACCATAGAACAAAATTCCCTATTTAAAACAAGTTAGTTGATACATATAGCAAAATTTTTTAAACCTGACTTAAAAAGTACATTTAATCAGAGTAATTATATTTTGCCAGATGAACTAAGTTTTATCGTGCATTTAAGAAAAATGTTAGATATAATAATACAACCTACTAACCACTGACCATATGAAAAATTTCCTTTCTCCACTAGTCAATTTTGTGAACATAAGCTCTCCTTTGTCTCAAACTTTTCAGCAATCAAATAAGATTATAGTTATGAATTCTACTGTCCTGTTGTTTTGCTAACTCCTTTTATACTGATTGTGACGTGTTTATACTCTCATACACACATTTTAGAAGTCGGTTTTCACCTTCTACTTTGCAAAAGCAGGTCTCTATCTCATGTCTCATCTCTATCTTACAGGTATCAAGATTACAGATACATGCCACTTGGCTTTTTATGTGTGTTCCAGGGATGATAAAAATTCAGCTCTTAAGGTTTATCCTTTAAGCACTAGTACTCAACTCACCAGCCCCCAATGTATTATTTTTAAAGAAATGCTTTATGATGCTCTCTGATGTTAATGTGTTAAAAGCTATCATAAAAAAATCATGAAGTGGGGCTTTATTTTATAAATAATTTATTAGTTTCAACTACTGGGTTTTTTGTACATAAAATAGTTTTTTTGGTAAATTGGTTAAAGACACATACTTTAATTACATCACAGAAACAAATTCAAGAACCCAAAACTTGACTCCTCCTGTGTACTTATGAACAAGCTGTACAAAAGCAGGACTACCTTTTCTAAAAAGACAGGAATAGCATCTACGACAACAGCAGATGATCGAGGGAGCGCTTCCATCATGTACGTTAAGGCTCGGCAAGCGTGATTCATCTAGAAAACAGAATGAGTTTTTATTCAATACATACTCAAATTAAAATTTAGGTAGCCTTTAAAAATACATGATGTACTTACAATGTCAAAATTATGTTCCATCTGCAGTAATGTTATCTGTTAGAAACATAACAAAATATTAGAAATTTTTAAAGTATTTCTTGCATTTCACTGAAATGGAGAGAATTTTCTTCCTTGCACTACACACAAAAAAGTAATAGCAAGACATACTTAGGTATTATTATGCTTATAATGTCTTTCATTGCATGCTACATCTCTAGATTGGCAATGCTGTTATAAGGCATGAAGTTAAAAATCATCATTTCTGTTGCTTACAACCAGCCATTTTAGTAGTTCTAATATACTTCAGAGACACCCACTAACATGAAAGAGATTTATCAACTGACACATCACCAGAGCCAGCAATGACTGGTATTCGCTGAATTATTAACACAGATTGAAGACTACAGTTTACATTCTGTACACATCTAATAGAAATGAGTACTGTCATAACCATATGCTAATGATATAGTAAAATGTGGTTTGAAGAGAAGTGGATACATTAGAGACTACAATTAATAAATGACATACCAATTAATTACTTCACAAATAAGTAAGTCTAAAAGTTAGAATTTATAGTATTTTCTCATTAGAAAAAGATTTCACAGAGATTGCAGCTATTTTGGTCAAAGGAAGCAATGTAAAACTCGAAAATTTTAAATGCACTATATTTCAGATATCAAGTACCCTTCAAATAGTTGCTGATAATAAAAGATACACAATACCCGATTATTACATGACTTCTCTGGTAAATAAATACATTCATAGAAAAAAACTGTTCAAAACTGAAACATTTATACACATTCACCATCTAAATCAGTCCCTTGAAAAACCCATCTAATTTCAAAGGGTTTTCATGCTAACACAAAAACACTAAGTTTCCTAATTGAAAGATGAAAGCTTTCCCTTACACCAAAAGGGACTACTTGTATTTGCTTTTCTGTTTTGTTCTTTTGTTTTTTTGAGACGAGTTTCTTTGTGTAGTCTTGGCTGTTATGGAACTAGTTCTATATTATCAAGCTGGTCTCAAACTCACAGAGATCCACCTGTCTCTGCCTCCCGAATGCTAGGATTAAAAGCGTGTGCCACCACTATCCAGCAAAAAGAACTACTTGTAAATGTCAATTGTTTTAATCTCATTTCTGTTGCTAAGATAAAATATCCTTAAAAAGTAACTTAGAGGAGAAAGGCTATTTTAGTTAACAAGTACAGGACAGAGTCTATCATTTCAGAGGACGACAAGGCAGAAACTTGAAGCAGTTAACCACATCAACAATGAAAAACTTACTCCTTACTCAGTACTAATAGGGGATGGTGGAGCCCATTTAAGTTGATGTAATCAAGATAATTAAAAAAAACATGAACTCAGAACAAGATGACCAAAGACTCCCTTTTATCAAGATTCTTTCCAAATTATTTTAGATTTTGTTACGCTGGGAGGATCAGAATTTAATCTGAAGGATGAGCTAGCAGAAAGGCAAGAAATTGCTTTATAGTTGCCCAAACCAAACCTTTCAAAAGGAAAGAATGTGCTAAGTAATGGCTGTGTGAAGCCCTTTATATTTGATAGACCTTTACACAGAACTCCTGAATTATCAGGTTTCCATAATGTAAGAATGTGACCAAATGAGAAAATCTCATACTCCATAATTTTTGCCAACTACTTGGATATATGAGAAGGAATATTTATTTAATTTTCAGTAACAAAATATGCTATAAGCCTAATACTAGTATAATTTAATGGATTGCTGCCTGGCTTGACAATTCTTCCCATGCATAATAATAAACAAATAATAAACACTCAATCTTTCTCCACCACAAAGATAACCCAAAGTATTATTTCCCCAACGAAAAAGGAAATTAAACAATAAAGCCTAGCACATTTTTCGCAGTGAAGAAACAAAGCATTACTGATAGGTTGAAAAAAATCATTTAAGTAATGAAGATCAAGTGAGTGACTTCAAGAAAAAATTGGCACAAAAATATTTACGAACTCAAGATGGGTAAATAGCTCATAAGCAAAGTAAGTAAATATAAAAACAGCATGCTTACCAAAGCTGGAACAACACTCTTCACAGGAAAGCCTCCTAATGTCTCCTCATTTCCCATGACCAATAGCTGACACATTTCAATGACTGCCTGAAGCTGTTGACTCTCATCACTTGCTTGTAGTCCTTGAAGAAGCTGTTGGGCCTTAGAACCTGCACAGAAAAAGAAAGCATTACTTTTAAACACTGGAGCTAGAGAAATAGTTCAGCAGTTAGGAGTAATATTACTCTTCCAGAGACTCCAACTCTATTTCTAGCAGCAATGTCAGGCTGTACACGATCATTGATAACTGCAACTCTAGGGATAATCTAACACTTCCTCTGGCCTCCTCACATATTCATCCAAACGTGTGTGCATAGAAACATGTAGAAATACTCACAAACATATAAAAAATGATCTTTTTAACACTGAAGAGCTGGGGAGATGGCGCAATTGGACTGAGACCAGATTTCAAAACAAAATGTTGGTCCAACCATGTAGAAATAAAATACATAATACACATAACTTTAAATACCTACTCCTGGAGACAGATGTTATAATAATAGCAAAAAGAGAAAAGGAAAGCAAACCAAGTCTATGCCACTTTATACTCAAGGGAGAGCTGAACTGTTGTTTCTGCTTAGCCTTAACATGACCTCAATTACTTGGGTTTATGCTTTCTTAACTTAAACAAGTTCATTAATTTTTAGCAGCAAAACTCACATCACCAAATACCAACAGGAACTGCACTTTCAAAAAAATTAATGTAGCAAGTATAATTTTAGTCCAATAAAAATTTCCTAATAACGGTATCTGGATGTAAAAGGAATTTCATGCTTCTTTAAATATACAAACCAGGATTAAATAGAAAACAAAGAAAGAAACAAAAATTAAGACAGGCAGAATAATGTTTCTGAAGATATGAGGTATTCTGTATAAAAAACAAGACAAATAATCTTTGTAGTTCCAACTGCATTAGCAGGTGCTGACTACCAGTTCATTTTTTAGTCATTGATTCCATTATGCAAATTAGTTGCAGTGAAAGAACTCAAAATTAAAATCAACACTTGAAGTAAAAAGCTCAGTGCTACAATGCTTCCCTAGTATTTGTGAGACCTGGGGATCAATCCTCAACATGGTAAACAAATGATTAAAAACTGCAAATCGCTTTTGTCCCTTCAGATATGCTAGTAAAATTATTATTTGCACAGTAGGCTTTTAAACTCAGTTATCATTAGGTTTTAAAATATATAAGACCGGATACAAAAATACCTGAAAATAACTTTCAATCTACATAAAATTCATGTCAAAAGTAGTTTACCATAATTAAGGTTCAGGTGATCTTCCTGGTGGCATAACCCTCAAAAAGACGTGTGACCAATTGGGAAATATTATTTTAAGGTATGTTGTTTGTTTGTTTGTTTGTCGTCCCCCCCCCCCCCCCCCGAGACAGGGTTTCTCTGTGGTTTTGGAGCCTGTCCTGGAACTAGCTCTTGTAGACCAGGCTGGTCTCGAACTCACAGAGATCCGCCTGCCTCTGCCTCCCAAGTACTGGGATTAAAGGCGTGCGTCACCACAGCCTGGCTGGTGTGCTGCTTTTGTTTATGCTGCATTTACTTAACTCTGTGAAGCTATGATTCTTTGCCTATTTAAAACACCTGATAGTCTAATAAAGCGCTGAACAGTGAGGCAGGAGCAAAGATAAGCAGAGCTTGCAGAGAGAGTATAAACAATAGGAAAGGGAGGAGCAAAGAGCGACCAAGAAGAGGACTTCAGGAACCTGTCACTCAGCCACCCAGTCAGCCATAGGGTAGAAGAGAGTAAGATACATAGAAGAAAGATAAAAGTGCAGAAGCAAAAAGTAGACAGGATAATTTAAGAAAAGCTGGCTAGAAATAAACCAAGCTAAGACTGGGCATTCATCACTAAGAATAAGCCTCCATGGGTGATTTAATTGGGAGCTGGGTGTTGGACTCCCCAAAAAGCCAAAAAGAGCTTTAAACAAACAAACAAAAAAAAATTACACAATAGTAACCTTTGCAAGACTTGTTTTCTGTACTATATGTAACTAAAATTTGTATAATTGCTGCCTACTATCTTGTAATAACTAAAAGTCTACCTGAAAACAAAATGCACAGACATGTTCAAAATAATACAACTTCTAAATTCTAAACTAATTATTAGTATCAGTATGGCAGGTATATCATTTGTGCTTAAACAATACATAATTTAAAAATAGTAACTAATGAAAAGAAATCACTAGTAGTTCCTAATTTCACCTAAAAAAGATGAAATTATGTACACCAAGTTTATCTCAGCAACACAATCACCTAAAAGAGAAAAACTGGCAAATATGCCATACAATGGGTGTCTCAAACACTGAAGCTGGCAAGCCTAAGTATAATCATTATCAGTGAGATTACAATTATCTAAAGCCCTATATCAAAACAACTGTGTGAGAACTTCAGTAAAAACAATGGTCAAACTGGTTAAGTACCTCTGATGCATGAAGAAATCCAATTACTAGCAGAACATTTTGGATAATGGATCATTTTATATTCATAAACAATTAAGTTAGGGGTTCAATTGTAGACCATATGACCAGCAAGCAAGGATGATGCCATGCATTCAACTCCACCGCCAGGAAATAAATAGAATAAAAGCAGCAGCAGTCATCACCACCCATAGCATTGTTAAAGTTGGCTAAAAGTACTTCTAATCAAAACTTGGTGCATATTAAGAGTTCTTATACTCAGAATTAAAATTGTCTTTTCTCAAAACAAATAATAAAAACTGTGTTACTGTGTATCTTGCAAGTCATCTCAATGTCAATAACAAAAGATATTACTTACTCCCTATGCTGAAATCAAGAAAATAAAAAAAAATGTTTCTCATTATGTTACAAAGATCACAAACACTAATTAGGAGTAAAGACCAAGTGAGTTTATTTACATATTTCAAAGCCTTCATAAAGCAAAACTGGAATTACTGAATTCACCAGCACTTAATAAAAGTATTCAGGCTGGCACTGAAAATATAACTGACAAATTTGAGAATGGGAAGTATTGCTTTGGTTCTTGTTAAGCTACCAGCAGTTTGTAGTATCAGTTTAAACATCAACTGAGGTGGAAAGGAAAAGCCTAGTATTGCAATTACTAGTCACGTCCTTATATTTTCATGTAAGGATTTCAGGAACTTCCCACATAGCCACAGACCAACATTCCAATAAGCACTGGAGATCAGGAATTGGCAGGCCAATATATTCTATAAGGAGCTTTGGAGGTCATATGATCTCCACTGTTGCTGTCCCAATTGTGACTGTAGTATTATAGTTCAAAAGTAGACATAGACAGTACCAAACTAATGAACATGGCTCTGATTCATTAACACTTTATGGAAAGTAAAATTTGAAATTCACTTAATTTTCAACTCAAAATATGATGCTTCATTTTTTTTCCAGGCACTTAAAACTATAAAGACATTCCTAGTTCTCAGGCTACATAAAAGAGTAACCGAGATGGCACAGACCAACTGAACTCAGTCTGTAGATCCTATACTGGAGTGAGAAAAGTGGCTCCTGACAGTTGTCCCCTTACCTCCACATAAACTGCAATGCACACATTAAACAAACAAACAAAGCAAAATCAAGCAGGGGCCAGATTGGTCCTAGTCAGGATATTGTAGAATTGTAACATTTTATATTTTATGAAGAAAAGGAGGGAAAGATCACTAGCAGACGTTACCTGATAAGTCTCTTCAGTTCTTTTATACATAAATTAAAAAAATACTAGCTTAATTGATAAAAATTGGAAATACAAGACTAAATTATAAAGAGGAAAAAAATCAACACTTCTAGGATGTTAACTGCGACAATAGTCTAAAAAACACAAGCAATGGGCTGGGAATAGGGCTCGTCAGTGTGATGCACAAGGTTCAATGGCTCCAGTACTAGCAACAAAGAAAACAAGGGAAAGGGCACTACAGAATTTCAACAGAAATCTGCAATAAAGAATCAAAGAACTGCCTAGAACTGAAAAACACAGCATTTCAAATTAACTCAATACAAAGCAAATAGGTAGCAAAAGATTGTAGCAAACAACTTTTAGAAAAAACATTGTTATTAGGTGTAGTGGCACGTTTAATCCCAGCACTAGGTAGACAGAGGCAAGCAGACCTCTAAATTCAAAGCCAGCCTGGTCTACAGAGTTCTACACAGAGAAATGTTAACTAAAACACACACACACACACACACACACACACACACACACACAGCCCTGCTCACAGGAAAAAGAAAATGCTACAAAATGAAAACAAAAATTAAAAGAAAAACTTAATGGAGATAAACTATGGCAACTGGGGGGCGCTGGTGTAATATGAGAAAATAGCCTTAGAAATTTAAGGCATAATGATTTTTCAAACAAAAAGAGATTGTTATTGGTCACCCTTTACTTCCACGACATACAGTTCTCCAGCCAAAAGAAAATCATGCAAGCAGAAATTAAGCACAATGGAAAGAATAAACAGTTTTTAACAATGCATCTAAAATAATTAAGTGTTATCAAATTTATAAGAAGTGTTTCATACAACAGTAACAGGAGGCCATAAACTAAACCATTACCATTCTTATACTGCTTTTGATATGACAAATTATTATTATTATTAGTATTATTAAGATATACTAAACCAAGGCTATATATAATAATTTCTAGGGAAACCATTAACACACACAACTGACAATTTAGTAGAAAAAACATATTAAAAATAATACCAGATGAATATCAAAATGTTAACAGTCCTCACCTTACGTTTTCTAAAAGCCCCCAAATACAACACTATACTATTGTTATAAATGATAAATACAGGGTGGTAGAGCCCCACAGTGGGAAATTCGTAGCTAATAACTGTGGACACCTGCCATTTGATCCAACAAGCATGTTTTCGTAGAAAATAAAGCAGGGGGCTGGAGAGATGGCTCAGGGGTTAAGAACATAGGCTGCTCTTCCAGAGGACCTGAGTTCAATTCCCAGCAACCACATGGTGGTCAGAGAGCCAAATTGAAGGCCAGCTTGGGTTATAAAATTAGCCTAAGACAGGTAAGTAAAGCTCTGTTTCAAAAATATTTCTTTTAACTGAAGAGTAGAAGGGTGTGGTTGCACACACTTTTAATCTCAGC